GATACAATCATAGCATGCCATGGACTTAAACCAGGAACACTGTGTTGTGAGGCTGGGACACATCCTACAGAACTACTAAGGATTGTATGTGTTTAGGCCTCAGATACCTCTTCTCATGTGGGAGAATAAAGTTGTGCAACATCAGCTTCTGCAGTTGGTGGGCAGGATGCTACCTCTGCATTGGCCAGGTCTGTTTCTACATACCAGAAGCCTTGCTTTTTGCCTTTGCCTATTCAGAAGGGTAGTATGTCCTGCCTTCTATACTTCAAGTTCCACTTTCCCCAACTCCACCCACTAATCTCAGCGTACTGACCTGGAAAATATGCCCTCTGGGATTGCAATATTGCCACCCACAACCCACCTTGTCCCAACAACACATTGTCTTCTACCTAATCCTTTACAGCACAGAAGTTCTCTGTCCCACGTTGTTGTGGCCACACGGTCACCCTCTTATGATTTTACTTGGGACATTATGCTTAGGGCGCGATGCAGTAAATATTCCCGCAATTCCCTCTTTCTCTATCTTTCTAGATTGGCGTTTCCCAAAGTTGGGTCTCCAATTGTTGTTGGACTACAACTCCCATCATCCCTAGTTAGCAGGACCAGCGGTCAGGGATGATGGGAACTGTAGTCCAAAAACAGCTGGAGACCCAACTTTGGGAAACCCTGATCTACATCAATAATACTGCAGTCATTATTATTACTACTACAATACTTATATATTTAGATTTCCTAGCTCAGTGAACATTTCCTAGCTCAGTGAACAACAGCCCTGCATCATACTCCAGTATTATTATCCTCATAACACAGACAGCACACTGAGCCTGAAGTGTAGCTTAGTTGTCTGCTAAGTTCATAGCAGAGGTGAGATGTGAACTGGGACTGTCCTAGCCCACAGCTGATCCTTAAACCATATGCTATTCTAGTTCTCAGCTAGAGTTTATGCAAAACTACGGTGAATAAATCTAATCTTATTTTTAAAATTATTTTTATTTAAAGAAAAGATCAATGTAAATGAAATATTAGTAGAACTAGAAAAACTCTAGGAACCTCATCATAAGAATCGTGAACATGAAATAATTTTCAGAGCTTGCAACCATACTACTGTATGCTAAATGATAGGGCTACTTTTCTTATTTTGATACCATCCATTTAAATCTGATTAAGTGGGAGGGATGAGGAAGCATGAGGAGCTTTTAGTTCAGCATCTTCCGCTTCACAAACTTGTCTTGCAAAGGCTGGCATTTAAAACTAATTTTGCCAGTGTCTGGTTTTTGATGTTGCAAACCCCATCAGAATACAAACACCAAAGCCTCTCATTTGAGAGCACAGCATGTGGCTTAAGAAAGGGATGCCTTGGGCAGACAAATTTCAGCATGATAAAATGGACCTGCCAGTGAAACATGCTACATCACATATAGTTGTATGGCTCATCAGATGACCCTTTACATCCTATTGCCTACGTAGTCAAAACTATTCCTGCACTTTGCAAGAATAACTAAACACAGATATATGTACCAGCTATGGTGGGGGGTAACCTGGCAAGTCCATCACCAACTCTCCTTTTTATTTGAAATAAACAAGCATTAGAAAATGACAGGGCTGGAGATCTTGCCTATTAACCTAGAGCTGAGAAAGTTATCACACTGTCTGATTAGTTGTAGTAGCAGAAAAAGCTCACAGAATCTTTTCCCCAGGACCTTATTGATTACCGTATTTTTCGCACCATAGGGCGCACCGGACCATAGGGCGCACCCAGTTTTTAGGGGGGGAATTCAAGAAAAAAAACTTTTTCCCCCCGCAGCCCCAAAGAGCAGCGTACAGGCTGCACACAACCTCTCCCTGCCGGAGGGATGGATCCCGCTCGCTGTTTTGGCTTCCCCTAGCCCCGTGCAGCCTCTCCCTCCCGGGAGAGGCTGCGTGGGGCTAAAGAATCCATAGCCCCGTGCAGCCTCTCCTTGGCAGAGGGGTTGCGCGCAGCTATGGAGGAAGCCAAGGCAGCGAGCGGGATGGATCCCGCTCGCTGTTTTGGCTTCCCCTTTAGCCCCGTGCAGCCTCTCCTTGGCGGAGGGGCTGCACAGGGCTTTCCTGGCTTTCCTGGGAGGCGGGGGGATTCCCCCACCTCCCGCAAAACCGGCAGAAGCCGCGCGCCTTTTAAAAGGGCTGCACGGCTTCTCCTGGCTTTCCTGGGAGGCGGGGGGATTCCCCCACCTCCCGCAAAACCGGCAGAAGCCGCGCGCCTTTTAAAAGGGCTGCACGGCTTCTCCTGGCTTTCCTGGGAGGCGGGGGTATTCCCCCGCCTCCCGCAAAACCGGCAGAAGCCACGCGCCTTTTAAAAGGGCTGCACGGCTTCTCCTGGCTTTCCTGGGAGGCGGGGGGATTCCCCCACCTCCCGCAAAACCGGCAGAAGCCGCGCGCCTTTTAAAAGGGCTGCACGGCTTCTCCTGGCTTTCCTGGGAGGCGGGGGGATTCCCCCACCTCCCGCAAAACCGGCAGAAGCCGCGCGCCTTTTAAAAGGGCTGCACGGCTTCTCCTGGCTTTCCTGGGAGGCGGGGGGATTCCCCCGCCTCCCGCAAAACCAGGCTCCCCCCTCCAGCCTTCTAACCAAGTCGGGGGACAGCGGGAAGGGCGCGCTGCGCCCCTGCCGCTGTCCCCCGAGTTTGCGGGGCTGGCGACGGTGAGGAGCAGGCTTCTCCCCCCGCCAGCCTTCTAGCCAAGTCGGGGGACAGCGGCAAAGGCGCGCTGCGCCTCTCCCGCTGTCCCCCGAGTTTGTGGGGCTGGCGACGGGGAGGAGCAGGCTTCTCCCCCCGCCAGCCTTCTAACCAAGTCGGGGGACAGCGGCAAAGGCGCGCTGCGCCTCTCCCGCTGTCCCCCGAGTTTGCGGGGCTGGCGACGGGGAGGAGCAGGCTTCTCCCCCCGCCAGCCTTCTAGCCAAGTCGGGGGACAGCGGCAAAGGCGCGCTGCGCCTCTCCCGCTGTCTCCCGAGTTTGCGGGGCTGGCGACGGGGAGGAGCAGGCTTCTCCCCCCGCCAGCCTTCTAGCCAAGTCGGGGGACAGCGGCAAAGGCGCGCTGCGCCTCTCCCGCTGTCTCCCGAGTTTGCGGGGCTGGCGACGGGGAGGAGCAGGCTTCTCCCCCCGCCAGCCTTCTAGCCAAGTCGGGGGACAGCGGCAAAGGCGCGCTGCGCCTCTCCCGCTGTCCCCCGAGTTTGCGGGGCTGGCGACGGGGAGGAGCAGGCTTCTCCCCCCGCCAGCCTTCTAGCCAAGTCGGGGGACAGCGGCAAAGGCGCGCTGCGCCTCTCCCGCTGTCCCCCGAGTTTGCGGGGCTGGCGACGGGGAGGAGCAGGCTTCTCCCCCCGCCAGCCTTCTAGCCAAGTCGGGGGACAGCGGCAAAGGCGCGCTGCGCCTCTCCCGCTGTCTCCCGAGTTTGCGGGGCTGGCGACGGGGAGGAGCAGGCTTCTCCCCCCGCCAGCCTTCTAGCCAAGTCGGGGGACAGCGGCAAAGGCGCGCTGCGCCTCTCCCGCTGTCCCCCGAGTTTGCGGGGCTGGCGACGGGGAGGAGCAGGCTTCTCCCCCCGCCAGCCTTCTAGCCAAGTCGGGGGACAGCGGCAAAGGCGCGCTGCGCCTCTCCCGCTGTCCCCCGAGTTTGCGGGGCTGGCGACGGGGAGGAGCAGGCTTCTCCCCCCGCCAGCCTTCTAGCCAAGTCGGGGGACAGCGGCAAAGGCGCGCTGCGCCCCTGCCGCTGTCCCCCGAGTTTGTGGGGCTGGCGACGGGGAGGAGCAGGCTTCTCCCCCCGCCAGCCTTCTAACCAAGTCGGGGGACAGCGGGAATGGCGCGCTGCGCCTCTCCCGCTGTCCCCCGAGTTTGCGGGGCTGGCGACGGGGAGGAGCAGGCTTCTCCCCCCGCCAGCCTTCTAACCAAGTCGGGGGACAGCGGGAATGGCGCGCTGCGCCTCTCCCGCTGTCCCCCAGCTTGTGGGGCTGGTGGTGGGGCTCTCCTGAAGCCTGGAGAGCGAGAGGGGTCGGTGCGCACCGACCCCCCTCGCTCTCCAGGCTTCAGCGAAAGCCTGCATTCGCACCATAGGACGCACACACATTTCCCCTTCATTTTTGGAGGGGAAAAAGTGTGTCCTATAGTGCGAAAAATACGGTAGTTGTTCCCTATCTCCTAAGTTTTTTAGGTAAAATGTTTAGTGATCCCATCTTCAAATTGTGCATAAATTAGCATCATTTGTAAGAAGTGGAACACGGTAGCAAAAACATCCAGATCAAAACAAGACTTAGCCATAAGTCCAGCACTACAGGTAAATGACATCAGTATTTTTCAGACAACAACTAATGCTGTTTCTCCTTCTTTCTTCTGTCCTTAAAGCTGGCAGCTACTGCCAGGTCCATCTTTAGCAATGCTGTATATTCCATCCAGCAAGCTATATTACACAGGAAGGTTCAGAAAATCAAAATTCATTCAATGGCGTGACACATAGGAAGGAAGCACAGGGAAGGGGTTTGAGAAGAGGAAAGAGGGGTGGTTTTGCTGCAAACCTACACCACAAGCAAAACAAGGGGCTCCATTCCAGTCACTGCCTCCTTTCCTACATAGCCTCCTGGATGGCTGGCTGGCTAGTTGGCAGGCAAGACTGTAGACAAAAACAGCGCACCCTGAAGGGGGGGCAAAATAAGGTGGTCCATCAGAACAAAAGAACCACAAACCAGAAGCCACCTGGCTCCTTGCATGACACAACAACACACAGCCACCTTCCCACTCACCCACCCACCCGCCACAGCCACCACCCCGACCCCAATCGCCTCCACCCCCACACCTCTGGGCAGCCTGTATTTTTGCTGCTTTCAGTGGTCCCACGCTCTTCTCGCCCACCCTCTCCTTTAAAAAAAATTAATAATAATGAATATAATAGAGGAAATGAAAATAAAGCCACACGAAATCTCTTGCCGAGCGAGAAGCAGCGCTGCTCCATCGCCAGAGGAAAAACAAACAAATAAAATACCTCAACATTCACAAGCAGCCGGAGCATCTGATCTGACATGGAGGGGAGATGGGCAGGATTTTATAGGCACCAACATCAGCCCTGACGAGGTTCTCCCGCCCATACACAGAGATCCTGCATCCTCCTCCCGCGGGGAAGGGAGAATCATACCGCCAGGAGGGAATGCAATTGGAGGAGGGGGGAGAGGGAAGAAGAAAGAAAAGAGAGAGGGGGATCCAGTGTCCACATAGCAGCTAATAGGGTGGGTGGATGCAGTTAAAAGAAAATGGGACACACACACACAGACAGACAGGCCAATTCCTTACCTCCGTCCAGGGCGCAGCAGACTAAACAGGCAGCGCCGGCGGCAGCCACTAGAGCTCGTCCTGTGTGGCTTCCGCCCCGCCAGCCCCGTCTGCCTGCCGTTGCTCCTCCCCAACCAGCCCGGAGTCCAGAGTCTGTCTGTGTCTCTGTCTCTCGGTCCTGCTGCTGCTGCTGGGCCTGACTCCCCTTTCACGTGACGCAACCACATGACCCAACATGTTACTTGCTTCTCTCTCTTTCTCTCGCCGCCCCCTCCCCACCCGCAACTCCGCCTCGGCCCCCTCCTCCTCCTCTTCTCCGTGTCGGGGTCTCTCGCTCGGTGTCACGCGAGGAGGGCCAAAAGGCGAGCCGCGCCTCTGAGCACGTGCAGAGCGCTTTTGCCTCTCCGCGCGGCGGGGCATCGCAGCCTAGCCTGTCCACCCCGCCATACGGGAGCGGAGGCAGTCGCTTCGGGTCAAAGGATGCGGCTTTCAGGCCTCGGCCTGGTGCTGCCTCAATGCGATTCCTTTATTTTCATCGCGAAAGGAAGATTCCGTTATTGTTTTATCATTTGCCACTGCGTTTTTTGAACGTTTGTAACATCATTAATAACTGCATTGCTTAACAATATTCCCGTGATTTAAGACATCGTTGTGGGGTGTTGTGCAACTTCCCCAAGGGATGTGTTTTCTTTGTGGTATATTTAAGTACAGATTCTTAGGTGGTTTATAGGCCGTTGGTTTTTTCTGGAGCAACTGCAAATTCTGTCTTATTGCTGCCTACAGCGCCAGCCTTGATCCAGCATCAATAGCTTTATAACTGTCATACAGTATATAATGGGCCTCCCAGGATGGAAAAGGGTGTGTCCTCACTTTCCTGTAGTTCCTAATTGCAGCCATTCTGCCTAATCCTCTATAATTCAGAAAAGATGTGTTTGTATTTAGAATGATTGTTCAGAGATGGTTTTAGGGTAGCGCTACCAGTTCAGTTGCACTGGGCGCTGACACTGCAAGGGTCGCTGCAACAATAATGTAGAATGGGCAGACCAAATTTTAGCATTGCACAGGGCACCAGAGAAATTTGAGAGCCCCAAGTCTGCCGCTGGATTTATAAATCTTTTAATCAGTGTAGTACTGTATACATAATAAAATTTAAAAAAAATAAAATAAAAACTTAAAAGAAGTGTACAAATAACAATAAAACAAATAAAAACAGTAAACCACCTAAAACCAATGTTGTTATTACTAGCACCCTCATAACTTGCATTGCTCTGGAATTCTAATAAAACAAAAAATCAGTGCAGTTTTGAAAGTTTGGGTCCGCCTTCTTGATTCAAAATGGCAGGCAGTTGCATCCTCTCAGATGAAAATCCACCCCTTGATCTCAATAACCATGCAAATTTAGGTTACAACATCTTATGAGGTGTCCAAACGCAGAGTGAACACACCACTCTGCAAAATGATGACGATTTAAATTTCTTACTTGCACTTCACCATAAGGTCCCAAGGCAGCTTACCGTGGTTTGTCAATGCAATATTAAAAACAATTTAAAACAAAGTACAGCCAGGAATAGGGTGGGTCCTTAATAATATACCGTATCTCTAAAGGCCAGGGTGAAGAGGTGCATCTTCAGCATTCGATGCATAATAAATTCAGACACACCTCTGTGGAAATAGATTATATGTTTAGGTAGGCTTGCTGAAATAATAAAAAATGGAATTTACTAGAATGCATATAGCTTCTGTTCCAGCTAATTTAACTTTGAAGGAGAATTTCACTTTAAAATGACAAGTAAGAAATAACATGATGCGGACATTTTAATAATCGCTCAAATGTTGTCGACATGGGAAATAGACAAACTATTATCCTTTGAAGTTATGAGGCAGAAAGTCGCAAGTGCCCTGTTGATGAATAAACTATTAATTCAAATAAGATTCAGATACAGGTTTAAAACTGGTATGAGCTGTGGATAAAACAATAAGAGTAGGAATACGTGCAGAGGTTCACAGACAAAGGTGTGATGGAAACCCACCTCACCCCCTGAAAATAAGGAATGGTGTTTTTATTTGTATAGACTTGTTATAGTTTGTATTATATTGAAAGTCTGGAGTACGTTACTGATGTCTGCGCCCCCCACCCCGGTCTCTGCTTTGATATTTTAATACCTGTTTTCTGTGATTATTTTATTACATGCTTGATTTAGCATTTTAATAAAATAAAATAACCTGGCATGAGCACTGGAGTTAGAGGGTGTCTCTGAAATGGAATGGGTTTCTGAGCAATAGTTACACTGAAATTTAAATCAAAAGAAGAGCCGAGCTAGATCAGGCCAAAGACTCATCTAGTCCAGTATCCTGTTCTCTTCATGGCAAACGAGATGCCTATAGGGAGCCCACGAGCAGAGCCTGAGTGCAGCAACATCACTCTCATAATAATTAATTTTTATCCCACCTTTGCACACACAAAAATCATGCACAAAGCAATTTACAACAAAAAGAGCAGCAGTACGTCTCAAAAACGACAATCACAAAAAAATTCATACTAATAAAACAGCACTATAATAGCATATAAAACATCATACAAAGAACATTTCAATGCTACAAATATAATAGCATAACAGCAGAAACAAGAGAGCTTGAGAGTTTCACCTTCGTTCCTTGAAACCCCTCCCATGGAGAAATCCAAACCGACCCTCCCATGATGCTGCTCGCAGCCCCTTTCCTACAGTGGCATATTACAAGGCTTCCGAAAGCAGGGGTTTGGGATACCTGGAAAGACCCTTCCCATGGTGTTGCTCTCAATCATTCCTTGCTAGTATTTCCCAGCAACCGGCATTCAGAAGGATACAGCTTCTGACAGTGGTGGTAGAACATAGCCAACATGACTAGTAGCCACTGATAGTCTTATGCTCCTTAATCTACTGAAAAAGTCTTAGTCATTGTTCTAGGTACAGTACTTGTTTTTGCTTTTTCAGGATATTGCTTGACATGTTGCAAAATCCTGTAAAATTGCTTTCAGCAAAGTCATGGTGGGATCTTTGCAGCAATAAGCAATGACAGCCTGGAGGAGATGTTGCATGTTGTAAATTGTCTTCTGTTAAAAAACACACACACTTAGCTCTCCTAACTCGTAGCATACATAATCCAGCACTGCAACTTTGTTGGATTGAACGAGAATAAGCATAATTGAGTTTTGCCTTGATTGTATTATAATTCTTGCATAAACACCATCCCAGATAAAATCTGTTAGAGGGCAAAACTAGATTTCTCTTGGTTGGGGAATGAGTGTGGCATATTCACCATGGATCCTGTTTCCATCTCTCCTGTCCTACCTGCCTAGCAGTATCACACTAGTTTTTTTATATTTTATGCTCTTGGATTTTTCAGAGTCTTGGTATAAAACCTCACTGGCATACAGTGGTATCATGTTACCACATCTGTTGACTGTTGAATCCCAATATCACCTTTTCTAATAACAGGAGAGTAATTTCCCTGACAAAAACAGTAACGTCAATACCATTCACAAATCCAGAAGAAAGTTGCAAATTTCAGAACAAATCATGTCTGTGGCACAGAATATCTACCATATTTTTTAATGGGAGTGATTTGTGAGTGCCCTCCTGTGAAAGCAACAAGTATTATCAGAAGCAGCTGTGAGTTGGTGTCAATCTAACAGTTGTTAACTGATCTGTTAAATGAAAGGAAGTGGGCTGTCCCTCAGTGAACATTTTTAAGGAGAGGCTCTAGTTCTGTAGTTCCTTCACTGAGCAAAGCTTGGACCAGAAAGCCTAAAAGGTCCCCTCCAACTCTATGATTTTATATAAGATATAATCACTTTGGATGGTATCAAATGCTACTCCTACTCAGAATTAGACCATTGAAATTAATAGACATGCATGACTTAACTTAGGGTTATTCATTTCAGTGGGAGGAGTTCAATACTGTATAGCGCTATGGCAATCGTTCTGTCAGCGCAAAAAAATTCAGGTTGCCAGACAGAATGATCCCCATCTCCTTCCATGCTTTTCTCAGGGTTCGCTTCACACAGCCAATTGCAGAAGGTGCATGCATAGAAGTGGGGGAAATCCCATTGCTCTAGCAGACGTCCTTGCATAGGTTTCCACAAGAATGACGCATTAGTTGAATCCTGCACACGGAATCTACTGAGTACAACTCCATCTCTCCACAGTCTACTTGACACAAGAAATAGGAGCCCTATTCACTTGTTCCTCCTGTGTGTAGGAACCAGGGCTTTTTCAGCCGGAACTCAGTTCTGGCACCTCAGGTGGGTGCCATTGCCATTATAAGAGAACAAGGGTGTGTTCATGGTGAGTTCTGACGCCTCTTTTTCAAGAAAAATAGTACTTGTAGGAACCATACAAAAGAGGTGAGCAGGATCTCATCTGTCTAGCCCGGCTGCTCCCAATATTACCATGGCCAACTGTCTGTGCTGAAAGAAAAGGAGATGCACAAACACTTGTACACACATAGATTCTCCACATGTTTGGAAATCTCAATCGTGCAGTGCTCTTGAACTTGTGGAAAGCCTGAACATGTATGTAGGATCACCTTTCAGACAGATATAGGATCACCTTTCAAACATTGTGCAAACACTTTAGTTGTTAAAGACATTACTCTAGTCCATGCACACCTTTGATCTATCATGCTTGTTAAAGCCCAAGCTTAAAAATGGGACACATGCAAACACTAGCCATGACAAATGATGTCAGCCACAAGTGGAAGTGTTTTGAGTCCTGAGAAATCTGGAAAGGCTACTCTTCAGCTTTTTACTCACTTCTTGTAATACCTGATTATCCGGATTAATGATTGCTGAGCTGAACATCCTGCCTCACCGAATTAGTTTCCTCTCATTTGTGTTATAAGCATAAAAATCAGTATAATACAGAACACGCACAATAGCAGTCTGTTCTTTCTTTTAAGATCTCACAGACCCATGATATCTAGAGTGAATTGGGATAGCCCTTTGCAGTTGCTCAGTTCAAGTTGTTACATCTGGATAGTTATGCTGTAAACTGCCCTGTGATCTTTGGACGAAGGGCAGTATATAAACTTAATGAATAATAAAATAAAAATAATAAAATAATAATTGTCTGAAATCAGCAAATTAAAATTTTGTATTACACCATTTAGCTCCACAATGGAGCTTCCAAATTAGCTAACTTTAATAAAGAACAAACACAAACAGAAAAAAGTGAAAAAGTAGAGAGCAACCACCAACAGCAAATACTGAAACCAACAAGCATCTAAATAAGAAATATTTTTATTGACACTGGAATGTGCCAATTACACATTATAAATCAAGAGGGAATAGCTAGAATTCTCATAGGGAGCATTTCATAGTCCACATCTGATGTCATATTATGTCCAATGTGGAGTAGATGGGCTGGATTTGAGGAATTTTGGTGCTAAATTGATGTTAAATATATATGCATTTGGGGGGACAAAAATTCAGGCCTTTTCACCAAAATTTGAACAATGATACATACAGACCACCCCAAACACTGAAGATATACCCCCAAACTAGAAAAATGTCCCAAGTTGTAGTCATCAAATCTCTGATTCAAAATTCAAATTCAGAAATATTTGAATGTCTGTCCAGTGACATGAATATTTGAAAGTGGAGACTTGTTTCCCCAACATTAGTTTCTGCTTTTTAAATAGTCCAGAAATGTACCCCATCATAGCTGAGAGGAGGCCTTCTTGATGCTCCACTGCTAGGTGAGATTTCTTACGTGGTGACATGGGAGGCCTTCTCAGTGGTGACACCCCATTTGTGGAATGGTCTCCCTCTTGGGATATGACTGCTGCCATCTCTTCTTTGGTTTTGTTCCCAGCAAAGTGAAGATACATTTATTTGCTCAGGCATTTGTGAAGTATTACTATCCAGACTGTGTTCAGATATAGTTATTTCTGTGGTAGCTCTCGGTATTGATTTGTTAACTGCTCTTGATTTATGGTATCATTAAGGTTTTTAAATGTTTTATTGTGCCCTAACCATAGATCATTTATGATTAAGGGTGGGCTAGAAATAATAAAAGAAACAAAATAATACCTTTTCTTCTCACCACCTGATGACATACTTGGGTGGAAATGCTATGCCACTTATCTGGGAACAAACCCCATTGAACTAAATGCTAATTAACTTCAGAGTAAACTTGCACAGGATTTCTCTGTTAGTGTTGCCTACTTTTATTACTGCCTTTTTTATATAATACTTTTCAGAGACATTGTTTCTTTCTTTACATCTGTATCAGCCTAGCAATATTGGCTGTGATCTAAATATGAGCCATTGGCCCTTAATACAATATTGAAATAGCAATAGCAATGTTATAGTGCCACAAATATCGGCCTACCTTCAGTGCCTCTCACTGTTAATATTCATATAAATAACACCCAAGCCTCCCAGAAAATGGCAGTAGTCACTAAGTGAAAAACTTTAAATGTTTTAATTCTACCAAGTCTCATGCTATATGGAGTTTTCACTGAAGTGTTTTTCATCTCAAAGTGAGGCATTATGATGCAAGCTTGCTGCAGTGGAGATAATACTCGGACAATAAACAATTAAAAAATGTATTTGTGAGGCTAGGGAACAAGAAAATCTGTTGAATATCAATACCTACAAATAAAAAGTGGCTTTCTGTAAACCAAATAGAACTGTACTACCAGAAACCCAAATGGAATTTACTGTTTCTGACTTATTTTTTTGCCAGCAGGGGGAGACTTGCCTCCCTCGTAAGATGAGGGAGTTCCAGCTGCTCACCTCAATTTCCTTTGCTCAAGGTCCTTGGGAAAATCGGTTGCCTGGCAACTTCCAGCAGGGCAAGACTTCCCTCCATCATGGGCTGAGTTCTAGCTACTTGACCTATTCCCATGCCTCAAGAGTTCTGGTAATCAAAGGAAAACACCAGGGAAGACCAAGGAGGGCAGGTAACGTTGCTTGGATAATCACGGCACCATATGAGGACACCATGTTACTTATACAAAAAGCAAAAAAAGAAGCTATGTTTGCCTATAAGATAAATTCCAAAGGCCTATCAAAAGGTCACAAAATAGTGTGCAAGCCTTTTGGTTCTCCAGCTTTTGTTATGTTGTCATTATGTATATTTTTCATGTTGAAAGCTGCCTTGAGCATGGCTTGAACTATGGAAAGGCAGCATACAAATAAAATTATGTATGTATGCATGTATGTGCTGTTTTATCAAGTTCTATGGTAAACAAAGCATGGTGGTGAAGCCATCTGTCTGCATGTGGGAGGATGAGAGGACGTAGCAGACATTCAAACAAGGCTCTGTTGGGTGTTGTGCAGGTTTCAGGTTATACCAGTCTATCGGAAATTTAAAAACAGAATGGTCAATTCCCCATGTATGGAAATACAAAAATAGCTGTTATCCTGCTATGTCTATTTATGTTTCTGATGCTACACTTGAGTGTGATTGTATTGTGCAAGTCCTTTGCAAGCTGCTTTGAGAGCCTCTCAGGGTCTTAGCAGGATGTAACTTCTCTGAATAAACACATTTCTTCCCATCTTCCTTTTATATAATAGATTAAAATCAAGCATCCTTCCACTATGATATCACTCATAATCAATACACATATATTGATTAGAGTAATTCCTGACTTTAAAGGCACTTATTTTGTTTTATTAAGTCTCACCTTGCCTACAAAGGGCTCAGAGCAGCTTATATATAATTCCCAACAGGCTCTCACCTGGACAGCTTCCAAGGATACAGATTCATCAGAAATGCATCACTGCATGTGCCAACAGACCATTCTCTGAGCTGACAATGGAACATGCTCTTTTGGATATGATTAGTGTAGGAAGCATAATAAAAGGAGTATGTGTCTCGGGTGACTTTCTACGTTCTTGTGTTGCCTCTTTGTTCACTGCTATTTTAAAAAAAAAAGATGGGTCATGCAGATGACTTCTTTGCCAAAGGTAAACAACTTCAGTGGAAAACCTGCTCTTGCCCCATTTCTGTTTGCATGCACCTCTGGAAGAGGTGCACAAGTGTCTTCAGAGCATAGCATTACAGAAGCCAGCTGAATGGGAGGGACTGGAAAGAGATCCAGAACAGCGATGACCAGCTGCTTCATTCTAATTTGTGGGATGCTTTTTTGACCAAGGGGCTCAGAGTATGAGTATCACATATGCACTTTATAAACCGAACGTATATAAAGCAGGGAGGTGAGAGAGAGAGAGCACAAAAGGAAACTAACAGGGGAGGGGAGAAGGAAAACAGCATGAAAGCAGAGCCAAGTAGTGGGATCATGGATGCTACTTCCTTGCATGTAGTCCTGAAAGCTGGACAAATAATCTCATAGGCCAGCTGCTGCCTTCAAGCTGCTTGTGGGTCATTCTTGCCCTAGACAATTCCCTTGCACTGTGTCAGGATTCTCTTTCAATGCGCATGAGAAGCCAAAATTATTAAACTGGGAAAACAAGATTAATAAAACCCCATTTTAATTGCTTAAGCATGTTACCAGTGCTTGAAAAAGTGACAACTCCTTCCTTTTCCTGCATAAGTAATGAACTAACTGAAAGAAACCATGCATCTGTTTAAAATAAAATACATCTCAGATTTCTCACTCTCCTTTTATAAGGAAAGCAACAGACTGGAGGGCAAGTGAAGCAGCTATGCCATTCTTTCAATTTGTTTTGGATTTTAAAAAAAAACAAATTGTTGTAAAACCTGGTAAGCTCCCCTTACTGGTATATTTTCTCATTGATAAGGCTTTTAGACCAGCAGGTGTGTTTGATTTAAATCAGAATCTTAATAGATTATTGGTGCTATATCAAGCATCTGAGAAGAAATGGCTTGCTCTTTCCCTTAAAATTCACATTCTGATTTCTCCCATCCATGCACAGCAACAAGCTGAAGCTTAGAATACCCAAATAAATAAATAAATAAATAAATAATTGTGAAAGGAAGAGAGGAAAGCCTCGGCACAATAAGGGATTGATATGACCCACTAGGTAGAGCATTGACCTTGGACCCACATACAAAGGTCATGCTACCCAGAGAATGACTGCATAGCCTTAAGCATCTTCATCGTCCATCTGTACAATAGGAACAACACAGGGCTTTTTACCCTTAAATATTACGAGTCCAAAGGCATTAAACATGATTTGTGCATTATAATTGGTAACTGTGTTGCATCACCATAATAGCCACTTAGCAAGTGACATGATTTTAAATTAATGGGAAAACATCTGCATCGGTAGAAGCAGGTGCAAGTAATGCATACTAACCTTCTCAGTGCCCAAAAGTTTAATTCCTTCCTGTTTTTTAGATTTCATAATTAGCTATAAAATCTTTATTGCACTCTATTTTTATACAATATTGTAAAAGCTTGAATAAAAGTTTCAAACTTTATTTCAGTAGGGTTCATAATGAACCCTATAAATCAAAAGAAGAAAATTCCTGGAAATGCTAGAAAATAAAAGCCTGACCAAACCAAGCACAAGAACACTTTCCAACAGTGCAATCTCTACTCAGAAGTAAATCCTACTGAATTCAACTGGGCTTACTCCCAGGTAAGTGTGCCTAAGACTGCAATCCTATACACAAACCTGATGTAACTTAGTGAAATGTAGTTCTCTAAAAATGTATAAGACACAGCTATAAACCTGTTGAAAATTATTCAGTGTTATGCAGGATTCATATTATTGTTTATTTTTCAAGGTCCATCACATGAAATTTGGTAGTCTCCTTTGGTCCTGTAAAAAAGTTGCACAATCCATTAAAAACAGAAGGCAAATGTGCTTTAAGGTTATCTTCCCTCTAAAAGGAAAGTTACAAAGAAGAAACAATATGAACATTGATTTCCCCCACCCTCAATAAAGCACAGCCTAAAGTTCAAACAAGTAAACTCTAAAATCACTTGCAGTGGCAGACACTTTACTGGCTATCAGAAAACTATACTTCATAGTCTGTAACTACCACAGCAAGAAAATCAAAGAGAATTTTTGAACATACAATCTAATTAAATAGTTTATTTGCTATAGTGACTTTTGCTTTTGAATCCCCACCAAATCTATTACCAGGAATATCTACACATGAAGTTTCAGTTCCACATTTATTGATTGTAGTTAGACACAGACAATTCCAGTCCCATTTTCTATTTTTGTGTAATGGGGAAAGAGTTCTGGTCCATTAACTCTCCCACTTTCTCCTGCAGGAAGTAAACCATCTCAGCTAACACAAAGACATGTGTTTCATCCAAGTCTTGTATGATGAACTTCTTCCCCAGGGCATTTGATTCATCCAAGTACAGCAGAAACTGCTTCATGGCTGGGTCACTGTGGAGGCACAAATAAAATGGTCACATCACATGATACTTTAACTGAATTAAATTTACACTCTTTTGGAATAACTGAACTATACGGCAGCTCAGGAGTATGTTTTCAGGACTGGTTTGTTACTTACCTCTGTAGTCATGGAAACTGGATGGTCTTCAGAAGCATTACTGAAATCCCCAGAGTGCTCTAAAGTTATTACATAGCTGGTGAGCTTCAGAAAAAGAAACTGGGAGTACTGCAGTTAAGACCCCTTTAGAAAGCCAGGAGTCTGAGCAGCTCTTTGAGCTTAACCTATCAAAATACAACTAAAATTCAGTCAAGCTGTTTATAATGTAAAAATCTGGCATTCAAATAGGCTGAGCTGGACAGGGAACACAATCATAGAGCTATGGTAGTTGTATTATCATATGGCTACGGTAGTAGGCATGATAGCTGCATTACAAGCAACAATACTTTTCAACTAGAGGGGAAAGGAAATGTGGTATTATAATAATAATAATAATAATAATAATAATAATAATAATAATAAAATTTTATTTATATCCCGCCCTCCCCAGCCAAAGCCGGGCTCAGGGCGGCAAACAACAATAAAATAAGACAACATTTTAAAATCATTTCATTAGAAAATTACTTCAGATCAAATTGATGGCAACCATTGGGTAGAGTTCTGTAAAGATTGCCAAAGGAGGGAGTCAGGCTGTATATAACGCACAAAAATTAAACCACATCATATTGCAGGGTGGTTCAACAATTTGAAGGAAGATATTTATTCTGTATCTCAAGAGTCTTGGATTTAGGAAAGGCTATACCATTTTTTCTAGTCTCCTACTTTTATTCATACTCCATGCCAATGATTTCATTCAGGAATTATAATAACCAGTTTCCAGTTTCACTTATGTCATTTCATTTATTATTCTTTATAAAATTTGTCCATCACTTTAGCTTAGCCGGAGCAACCCAAAGCAACTTTCAACCAGACAGACAAACCCTCCTGCAAATAAATACATTAAAACCAAGAGGAAAATGAAATACACTTAAAACATCCTGCTCACTTAAAAAGGCAAGATAAAGAACAAAGGCCAGGTTATAAAGGAAAGTTTTTGCCTGGCACATAAAGATATATAATGAAAGTGCTTGGTGGACCTCCCTGATGAGAGCATTCCACAAACAAGGAGTCACCACAGAAAAGGCCTGTTCTCATGTTGCCACCCTTTGGACCTCTCACAGAAGAGGCACCCAAAGAAGGGCTTAAGATGACAATCACATGGTCCAGGTTGATTCATAGGGGGAGAGGCGGTCCTTGAAGTATTGCTTTATAGGTCAAAGCCAGCACTTTGAATTGGGCCCAGAAACTGATTGGCAGTTAGTGCAGTTGGGCCAGGATTGGTATTATATGCTCAAATGGTCTTGCCCCGATGAACAACCTGGCTGCTGGATTCTGCACCAGCTGAAGTTTCTGAATCATCTTCAGCGGCAGCCGCACATATAATGTGCTACTTACCATTCTATAAGTATTCCTTTCAAAACATTCACCATCTTCACAAAAGATTTTCAGACTCCTAAAGAAACCGATAAATAAAAAATGAGTAAAAATATATGTGTGACACAGTTTATAGGAGAAGAAATTTTACTCAAGTTTTAAGGCTTCAGTCCTATGGAGGAATTCAGGAAAAGCCTCATTGAAACCAGTTAGGTATTTTGCATGCACAGAATTGCACTCTCAATCACCCTACAACTAGTAAAACAAGTCGCTAACATTACGCATTACTGGCTGTTACAAGAAGTTGCTGAATTACAACTTATTACTAAACTGAAAACTAGGGAGAGACCTGGTCTCAACAGCGATATTAGATTCTTGTCTCATTACATATGCTAAAGCTATTTTTGGTCACCTGCATACTATCCCTTGCTTCAACAGCATTACCATACCCATTGAGTCAATCACCCATCTTCTACTACCCTTCTGGGGAAAACCCCACCCCACCCTCCCACTATATGCTGTTATGTAAACTTCAGGATGCACGCATGGCAAACCTGGAAGTATTTTAGTGGGTTTCGCTGCACGCGCATGCGGAAACCTCGGGATCCGACCGGACCTCTGGAATGGATCCCAGCCACAACCGAAAGTACCACTGTATAAGGGTCTGGTGACTTCTGTTTCAGTGTACAGTATCTGAAGAAGTTTGCATGCACACGAAAGCTTACACCCAGAACAAACTTAGTAGGTCTCTAAGGTGCTACTGGACAATTTTTTAATTTATTTATTTCATTAGGCGTTAACAAAATTCTGAATGCATACCAGTATTTAAACATGTACTAGCACTCAATATAGAATCACAGAATTGTGGAGTTTGGAAGGTCCATCAGGGTCATCTAGTCCAACCACATGCAGTGCAGGAATCTTTTGCCCAACGTGGGGCTCCAACCCACAACCCTGAGATTTAGAGTCTCATTCTCTACGTAAGTAAAAAGTAATATTTTGAAGAAAGAAAGGTGGGGGAAGCTATCATTCATGAGCTAGAGGCTGTCAGGTTTAGAATCAGGTGGCGGGGACAAAGCTGCCTTAGCCCATTCGCACATTTCAGCGTTGGCCACCAGGCATCACATCAGCCTTTCTCTACACACAACACAACAAGAGGCTACGCGAGGCAGGAAGAGGGAAACTGAGGGGCGCGAGGACAGCTACTCTGGCCGAGGGAAAGCGCTGGCGGCGAACACGACAAACAAGGGGAATTGGGGGGGAGAGAGAAACACCCTCTTACGTTTCACACAACCGGCAGCATCCCCTCGGAGTCGGAAAAATAAACCAAGGTCTCGCCTCTCCAGCAAACCGGAAGAGGCGTGCGCAGTTGAAGCCGCCGAGCTCCCGCCCACCACCCCACCCCCGCGCGCGCGTCTTGGCTCGCCGTGGGATTGGCTGGAATCTGCCGGCGGCGGCTGCTGCGCGCGTGCGTGCGTGGGGAGGGGGGCTGTGGGCGGACGCGGCGCCCACCGCAGAGAGCGTAGGCGGCGCCGAGAGCGTCTCTGTTCGTTGAGAGCTGGGAATGGGCAGATGGGCAGGTAGGCGGGGGCGCGAGGAGGCTGGAGCTCATGGGCGGCCGCGGGGATGCGGTGCTGAAGCCGGCGCTCCGGAAGGCAGGTGAGGCTGCGGGGGGCGGACTTAGCGCTGTGGGAGGTCACACGCGGCTTTAGCACAGCTTTACCCCGGTCCCAGGCCCGCCCGCCTGCCTGCCTCTGCTCCTGCTTCGGGCGGTGGCGAATGCTTTTCGTCGTTTTGGCGGGGCGTCTAAGCCCCCTATGCGCCCCCATTTGGGAGTAAAGCTCCCCTCGCCCTCTTTTGCACTTAGGGGTTTCATTCCGACGGAGACGCGCCTGCATGGATGGAAGGGCTCTTTGGAGAGACGCTTCTCTTTCATTCCGAATTAAAACCTTTCTCCTCCCTTAATGTCGTCACTCATAAATTCGAAGTTAGTCATCGCTCCCACAGCCGCCAGGCTTGGATGTGTTGCTCCGGAACCGTCGCTGCGGAGCAAGTTAACGCGGTTATAACATAAGCCACTTTACTGAAGCGTCGCGGTTTCGATGGCTTTAGGAGTCAAAAGGCCATTTTTGTAAGGGGTGCTTTAATTGGCTTAGATAGACACACGATCAGTTTCAAGTGGGCTCTTTAGCTGTCTGCCGTGCTTGCAACAGTCGCGGGTGGTGCATTCCAGATTGCATCGTTCTCACTGAGTCACTCGTGCAAACGCACAGACAGGCCCATCCCCACCCATACGTGCCTCCCTAAATACTAAGATTAGCAGTGAAGGCTCTTTTATGGGTTGAGGGATGGGTGGGAAGGAGGCGGCTGCATGCAAGAGAGTTCTAACCACTGGATCCAAGCAAGTGTTGGAATATAAAGCAGACTAGTTTCCTGCATTGAGGTGATAGTCTGGGTGATGGGCCATTAAGAGAACAAAGGAAAAGGGGCTCTGTGGGAGAGACCAAATACAGTGGTGCCTCGCAAGACGAAAATAATCCGTTCCGCGAGTCTCTTCGTCTAGCGGTTTTTTCGTCTTGCGAAGCAACCCTATTAAAGGCTTAGCGGCTAAAAGGCTATTAGTGGCTTAGCGGCTTAGAAAAAGGGGGGGGAGTGAAAAAAATATCAAGAAGCAAGCCCATAGGGAAAATCGTCTTGCGAAGCGCATCGAAAAACGGAAAACCCTTTCGTCTAGCGGGTTTTTCGTCTTGCGAGGCATTCGTCTTGCGGGGCACCACTGTACAGTGGTACCTCGAGTTACGAACTTAATTCGTTCTGGAGGACCGTTCTTAACTTGAAACTGTTCTTAACTGGAGGCGTGCTTTCGCTAATGGGGCCTCTTGCTGTTGCTGTGCCGCTGGCACACAATTTCTGTTCTCATCCTGGGGCAGAATTCTCAACTCGAGGTAACTCTTCCAGGTTAGCAGAGTTTGTAACCTGAGGCGTTTGTAACTCGAGGTACCACTGTAGGTAGAGCCTCTTCTTCAACTTAGAGATAATGAGGAGGACGAAAACCTGCATTTGAATTGGAGTTTTGGGGCTGTGATTTGAACTAGAGGGACAGCAGCAAGCTGCAGAGAGAGTCAGAGCACCATGTTTGATTCCTGCTTGAATCCAAGGCTGCCACTATGGGAGAAACAAGACCCTTTTGGGGTGCTAGTGCTGTGAACCCCTCCATGATAGGCTCAGGTTGTGTATATCTGTAAATAAACCATATACAGTATCATAAAGACACCACAGTCTCTGCTGTGCCTCATTTCCAAAAGGAAACATGAGCCCTGACCACGTGCCTGGAACCCCTGGAATCTCGCACTGCTTGAAGATTGGGCTGGTGTGCAACAGTACGTAGAAAAGATAGGGTTTACTCAGTAATTATAATTATAATAATAATTTATTATTTATATCCTGCCCATCTGGCTGGGTTTCCCCAGCCACTCTGGGTGGCTTCCAACAAAACACCAAAATGCAATAACCTATTAAACATTAAAAGCTTCCCTAAACAGGGCTGCCTTTAGATGTCTTCTAAAAGTTTGGTAGTTATTTTTCTCTTTGACATCTGGTGAGAGGGCATTCCACAGGGTGGGTGCCACTACCAAGAAGGCCCTCTGCCTGGTTCCCTGTAACTTGGCTTCTCGCAGCGAGGGAACCGCCAGAAGGCCCTCGGCGCTGGACCTCAGTGTCCGGGCAGAACGGACACTGAGGTCCATTATTGCACCAAACCTGTGGAATGCCATCTCAAGGGACACTAAACAGGCACTTTTGCTGCTAGCCTTCTATTGTGCAGTTAGAAAGCAGCATTTCTTTTTTTATGTATTTTTATTAAAGATTTTCTTGGTTTACAACTTTATCACCATTTCATACTTTTACAGAATGTCACTGGCTGCTTATTGTGGGATTTGTTGTCGAAAGATAGGAACTCTTGGTTCAGCCCAGAAGACTGACCAATCATGGAAAGACATCCGTAAGTGCAATTCTATGATTACTAGGTTAACGGAAAGACATTAATCATTATTTTTACTGATGAGTTGTTTCCAGATTGGCTGATCATCATTTTACAGGAAGGTCTTGTTTAAAACAAATAGATGATACATTATCTACAGTCAGCTCTGTTTCAGTTGGGGTTTTCCAAAGAAAGAGGCTAGCCTTTATTTTACAGTATTTTTTGGCACTTGTGAAGAACTTTTTTATTTTCCATTCATTTTAATCTGAAGATCTTTTATTACCTCTAGCTCTGTTGTATTAGGGTTTTGCTGCTTTTGGTTTTATTTATTTTAACTTACACTGTAGTTTTTCTGCTTTGACTTTTCATTTATAAGTTTTAGTTCCTGTTAAATAAATAAGAAATGTCAATGAGTCCAAGTAATATTTCACTGTCATTTCTACTTCCATTGGATATTTTTCATTGCGTATGCTACAGTGGTAGAGGATGGGAATCTTGCCTTTGATCAGGCCATGTTTGTTGGTTCTACATCTGATAATTCGACTAGATGACCATCGTGATCCCTTCCGACTCTACAATTCTGGATTTTCTCTTATCATAGTCTTCATCATGTTCTGCCTCCTACCAGCAGTTTTGTGACTTCTTTATAGGTCAACTGCAATCAGCTGATGAATCCTAATTCATAATTTGTGACTTGCTGAATTAAAAAGTATTTTTAAAATACAGAGCAGCTTAAATATTCTTTTCTAATGCAGAAACCTAATGCTAGTGATGGATAAGCTTGCATGTCTCTGAGATGCTGCTGAACCATAGCCATCTGGGGAAAAGGTGAACAATGCTGATTAGAGTCATCAGTAAAAGTTAAGCACCTTAATACAACTTAATCCTCCAAGTACCCGACTGATGCTGTTTAAGTGAAAGTAGCTTCTGGTGGTGCACCCCTTTAATCATGATTAGTAATTTTAAACTTATCAGAATGTTGATAGAAGGAGCATGTCTGTATAAAAAGCAATGAAGTTGCTTCTGCTAATGGAAACATAGCCAGATCCTATGCATGTTTATGTGGAAGTAAGTCTCATTGAGTTCTTTCAGCTTTATTGCCAAGCAAAGGTGCCAAAGATTGTAGGATTTGTACACACCTCATTGTGACTTACCCTTCAGATAAATGTGTAAGATTGCAGCTTTATTTTTTAACTTTTTGTTTTATTTATTAAACATGAAGAAGCAAAATATGGTTACATACAGAATCATAACAGAACACAATCTAAGGCCAATTGTAAAACATAATCATGAGAGCTGCAGCTTTAACACTGTTCTTATATCTACATTAGGTTGGAGCCAGAGAAAGTTAGTTGCTCTTGGTTCATAACTTTTCACATTGACTTGGGGCCTAAGACTGCAGCCTAAATTAGCTGTACTTAACTCCACTTACCTGGGAGTTACCCCAAGTGAATTCAGTAGGACCTATTTCTGAGTAGACCTGGTTAGGATTGCACTGTAAGGCTCGATCCATCTTATTACTGTTTATGATGTGATGAATAACTCAATATTTTAAAACCTGCTTTTTTGCATATACAGTGACACTTTTTTATTTTTATTTTTTAAGGGAAAATTGCAAAATTAACTGGCTCACTTATTCTAGGGTAAGTTTGAATGTGCAAACATCCAAATAGTTAACATTGAATTAAAAATGAATGTAGATATATGTGTGTGTGTATCTGTATCTCCGGAAAATACAGTGGTACCTCTAAATACGAATTTAATTTGTTTTGGAGGTCCGTTCTTAACCTGAAACTGTTCTTAACTAGAGGCGTGCTTTCGCTAATGGGGCCTCTTGCTGCCACTGTGCCGCCGGCACACGATTTCCGTTCTCATCCTGGGGCAAAGTTCTCAACTCGAGGTAGCTCTTCCAAGGTTAGCGGAGTTTGTAACCTGAAGCATTTGTAACCTGAAGCGTTTGTAACTCGAGGTACCACTGTAATGTCAATGAACTTTTGTATTAATTTTTCATCTGTTTGCATGATGTTCACACACTTGTGGTATGGAAGTATGGTTGCGTCACAGGACCTCTAGCTTTTCTTCTTCCCCTCCAGTCCTTGACCCTCCAGAGCAAATTGCTGGGGTAGACTGGAGGGCTATGAGGGGAGAGGAGAGGAACCCCACTGTGTGAGCAGATGCTTACTTGTGGCACATCAGATGTTCCCCAACATGTGAGAAACACTATGAATCTCAGCCTCATCTAAAAATATGTGTGAAATAGGCTTCGGCAACTTAGCAATGAAGGCCACTTCAGAAGTAAAATATGAGCAAATATACAATGCTGGAGATGTAGTTTTTTAAAGAGATAAAATATTGTTGACTATTGCATGTAATTCATTGTTTGGAAATTGTACCTTCTAATCTTAAAAGTGCGAAAAACAATTGATTTAGACTTCCAGTTGACTTTCCACTTTGCTTCTTAGCCATTAGCATTTTTTACCTTCCTAGGTTCAAAATGGACATTAAAAAATTAATCAAACTTGCACTTTTAATGCTCATTTTAGGAGTAGGTCAGCTGTGTGTTGCTTACTCCAGTGAAAAGCATTGAACACTCACTGTGCAGTTGAGTGGCATGTGCAAAGTACTTCAACCTTGTGACTGTTCCTTTGCCTCCCTGTTTGGCAGCTGAATACTGTGAATCCTATTGCCAAAGGAACTTACGTTACTGCTTCAATCAAAGTTTGCTCAGACTTGGGAATAAGCAGAGGGAAGTGGTGGGTTTGGTGGTAGTTTGCCCTCTTTTGTACTGCTGACAACAGAAATCTTGTCTTCTATATTTTAAAATTTGTGTTGGAGATGATCCATCTAAAGTTCCCAGACTGCTGTAAAAGAACTGCTAGGATGTCACAAGATGAATCTGCCTACTGCACATCTGCATGGTTCACTGGTCAGGCCTTTCCTAACCATGATCTGAGTTACTGGATTTGAATGTCACAGGGACACTCGTTTAAGAAACCAAATTAACTTTGCTAAAGCTGGGCACAACAGGGAGAGGTGAGGAGGGAGTGAATGGGCAACAGCTTCTTCCTGGGCTGATAAACCATGGTTTATTGGACCAGATCGGTATGCCTGAACCAGCCCGTCATGTTCAAAATTCAGAGAACCATACATACACATGCTTCCAATTTGCATCTTAAGAAAAGTCATTTTTGAATTTTTGTATTAATACTTAAATGATATCTTTCTTTTTAAAGTGGTTGCATCTTTGCTATATATGAAGTTCTGGCTTTAAGGAAGTTGTTCTCTTTTGATACTCAAGTGGTACAGCAAGAAAAACTGAAGTCCTACATTTATTTACAAACAGTTTCTTTAGATCCCAGTGAATATCAAGGTAAGAGACCATTGGGCTTTTATGTTATTCAAGAAATAATGTAGAGAACGAAGAGGGGGGAAATAACATGAATTCTATGTTTAATAAAGAGTACTGCAGTGCTGAGATTAGTAGCAAAATTTACTTCACAAGCACCAGGATTTTGCCTAGGTTGAAGAAATGTATCTTCTGACTGGAAGCTTTCTTAGTCTATGTGCAGAGCTCTTAAGAGTGCTGCTGATGTTACGAACATTCATTCCTAGAAGCCAGGGCAAGCAGCCAAGCCCCATTAATCCTCAGTCATACCTGGGAACCAGCCATTGCTTGGCCTGCAGCACTATACACCTGGTGCCATTGTACAGTTTTTCCTGGTTGGCAGGTTTTGTCATAATTGGAGCCCAAAGAAATATGTGTGTGGGAGGGAGAGTTTGTAATAGGACGTTATCTCTATAAGAAATGCGCTTAATATGACAGCAGCCTTTATGTATTGTATGACCCTAACTAAATCTGCACTTTTGTTGTTTTTTAATAGGGATTACTTACCAAGTGAGAAAAGAACTTCACAGAGCAGCAAGGAAAATACTAGAAACAAATGCTAGAATTTTCCGAAGACCATTTGATGGTAGGTTTGATCAAATCTGCTATATCTTAACAGTGTTATTCCTAGGTTTAGCTATTTAACTTTGCTCTTTGCCTCTGACAGTGTCTATTGAAATGCCCTGTGTAGTTCACAAGACGATCATGATGGCGAAGGCATAAAGCTCAGCCTCCTTACTGCCTTGCCTGTTAGCTCTGCCTACATCATTCGCTCCAAACCCAGTTCCTTCCTTTCCTGTTCTGTAGACTGCTTATTGAGTGTTTTCAGTTCTGCCCTAGCTCAGCTAGGTCTGCCTGCCTCTGAATAACTATATTTTAAGGTAACAGGTTTAGAGCTACATAATGGCAGAGCTGTGAACCAGAAAGGTCCCAGTTTCAGTCGCAGCTCTGGCATCAACTCACTAGGTGATTTAACACAAGCCACTATATCACAGCTTGATGCAGATTATAATACTGACTTGCTGAACAGGATTGTTGTACAGAATATTGCACTTAGAACACTTTTAAGCACAGCTTATATGCAGAGCATAATTAATTACACAATAATGGTTTTATCGGTATACATCAAACATAATTGTTTCTTCTGTCCTACTGCACTTTCAGCTCATTTCTGTGCACTGTTTTTATTTTTATTGGTAAACTGCCTTGAGTCCCTGTCAGGGGGGCAAGGCACAGTTTAAATAAATATATAATAATTATACTATTGTAGAAATAATTATTTCATCTGTTGAATAATATGTTTTAAAATGTCACTTCTGGAAGAAGTTATCTTCATTTTCTGCTGATAATGCAAAGTTTAATGAACAACTGCAATAATTTGATTTTTATTTTATTTTTTGAGTAAAGAACGCTTCAGTACTTTTGACGCAGATGAGCATGAGTGTGCCTTGTGGCTCCTTGTGAAAAGAAGCCAGTCAGAAGATAAAATGGTCCGATTACAAGCTGTGCAGGAATTAGCCTCCAACTGCTACTGGCATGGTAAGGTATTATGTTATGAAAGCTAGTGTTTTAACATGTGGCCCTTAACTCACAGTTATTATTGTGGAAAGAGCCCTCAGGCTAAGGGATAGGAATACAATCTAAGATAAATTTCTCCCGTGAAGGAGATTTGTGCAGAAGAGCATCTCAGTATTTTGTTTTTAAAAATAGGGTTTTTTGTACATATTTAACTGGTACATATTTTGTAAATATTTAACTTGGGTTATGCTCACACTAGTGGGTGTACATTGGATAGATTTCCTATATACTGGAGAATCACTGCAGCATTTTCATATTTGGCATCCTGTTTAATCTCACGCTTCAACATGGGATCAACTTCTGAATTATTTATCATCCTTTATCCTTCTGTCTGCTGTTTATTTTATCAATCTTTATCTTGCTCTTGAAATCTTAAACAAACAAATATGGTTGTGCAACAATATGAACAACCTCGAGGCATTACCCAAATCCCTACTTGGTTATGAAGCTCACTAGGTGACCTTGGGTCAGTCACTGCCTCTCAGCCTAACCAACTTGCAGCATTGGTTTGGGGATTAAATGGTGGTGGTGGTGGTGGGGGAAACCGTATGTACCACCTTGAGTTCCTTGGGGGGGAAAAGGTAGAATATAAATGGACTAAATAACTGTGATTTGTATTTTCATTTTAAAAAATATAAAAGAAGAGGAACATTTTTAGTTGTCTGCCATCTGCTTAGAAAAAAAACTAGCACTGAATATCCAGCTTTTGACTTGGCTCTACAGCCTACCCATTGAACTCCAATGCTTTAAGGATTATATCAACATTCATGTGAGCACCTGCTGTATAAATTTATAAATTGACAAGCTAAGTTTAAAAAAACTAAATGCAGGCACTAGGGTTTCATATCAGTGCTGCAGCTATCCCCCCCCCAACCTGAAAAATTGATTTTTAAAAAAATCTTATATGTGTTTGACACCTTAGTGCATACAGTCCTTTCCAAACAGAAGGATGGAAAGTCTCTCCCTTTTCTGTTCCTCCATACATTGTGAATTATCATATGTCCTCACTAGCGTTTATTAATTGCAAATTTGTATTGCCTGCTTACTTGCATGGACTTTACAAAACTTTATAAACAAAGGGAAATATTTCAAGTTTGTTTAAGTCCTAACTCTATTTGTTCTAATACAGATTATCAGTATAGGACAGCTGCCCAAGCAAGTGATCAGAGAACTGCTGTTGGTTTAGCTCGAAGTAAAGATGTTGACCTGCGTTTTTTCCTGCTACCCCATCTTTTACCAAAACAAAAAGATGTACGTATTATTAAATCCCAACTTCACCATTTTTCATAGAAGTATTTTGAAATCCAGTGTCTAGGAGTCGACCCATATAGCTGGTCTAACATAATAACTGATTTGCATTTTCATCTACGTGGATTAACAACAATTTGAAATCTTAAGAGTTGGTTTGGCATTTCCTAAGTTAAGGAAGGTATCTTTCATTATCCAGTCCCTATGGCTGATGGTGACTTCAAGATCAGGGCTTAGATTTAAGGGGCAGAGTCATGGTGCAGCCTGGAATGAACAGAGTGAGAAGAGGAGATGAGATCAGGGATATGTCAAGCCATGCCATCCCTGGGAGTGTAGAGGCAGGGGCATAGAAATGAACTGAAGTCTGTAGGCAAACAGGGAGGAATTCAATGTATTACAAAGGAGGTTGCTCCGTAAGCACGAACATTGCTGCTTGCATGATGGAACAATCTCCCCTCTTGTCCTCTGGTGAGCTGTTCTGGGGGTTCTCCCCTCCCAAGCCAATTTGGGGAGCTTGTTCAGGCCTCAGTTAGTAGGAGCAGTCAGTTGAATCCAGCCCATAGCAGGAAAGGGAAAGATCAAAGGACAAAACACAGTGACATAAAAGATTAATTGGAATGAGTGCAGAAGGTGAGGAGTGGCAACTATTGGATGCTCAGACTGGGGTCTGCAAACTGTCCTGGAAACAGTTATGCTTTGTAAGACTTAGGGCACAACTGAACTACATGACAGACTGTTCTTCCAGGCAGGCTGGGACGTGTCTCCCTAAACTAGCCTTGGCTTAGAGCTAGCAGTGAGCAGAAACATCTAGAGAAATCCTCATCCTTGTACCACATCTGGAAGTCAGTTCAAATTGCTGTTATTGTTAGATGGTCCTTGCTGTTCATATTATGGAGGGCAAGATGAAACATATGGAAGCAGTTTCCAAGATACTAAGACCCATGACATCTAGGGCAGTAACTTCAATAACAGTTAGGCACTACATTTTTCTGATGTGAACTGGTCATTTCACACGGTTCAGTGTTTTTACATAATTTCCTGGTGCCTGCTGTTGTGGGAGATGTTGACAGGTGTTTTTGGTTTACATTACAGGCTTGTTATTCAGAAGATGAACTTCTGCTGTTGCTGGCAGCTTTACCTCAGACAGATCTTGACCCATGTGTACAATATTTTACATCATTGGCTTTAAGAGAAAGCAGCCAGACCATCGCTGCACGAAAGGTGTGTTCCTAACTCTAAATATTTTGACAAAAATGGAACAATAGTTACCAATGAAGGTGGAAGAGGCTTGACCGAACAATTTTATCCTGATGTCTGTGTTTACCTAATCTGTCTTCCAGTTAATATGTGAAACCATTAAAAAACCACTCTGTCTGCCAGTAAGTTCCTAAATTTTATGTACCATTCTGTGCTAGCTTGCCTTTTTTCTTCTCACTATTATTTCCAGCTCTTAATATGTTCTAGGAATGGAAATTCCTTGAATCCATCTCGTTGGGTGACTCCTGACACACACAGTAACATTCTTAAGGAAATATATTTTTTTTCTTGAGAAACAAAGTCAGGATAACATAAAGGCTGGTGGTTATTTTTTAAAGAAAAAAATTATCAGAAATTCATTTCCCTGTTCAATAGTTTAATAGTTTGGGAGGTAATCTTAATAGCAGGAAAGCTCTGCAGTGCTGCTGGCCTGCCTGTTTTGCTATCTTGCTAACTAGTCCTAGCTACCATAAACAGGAAGCATTAGCCAGTACATCTTATGGAGGCTGGAGGTTGGACCTCTCTTCCATTTGCCCCGTCAAGATGGCCTAATCCTTAAATGCAAATTTTACAAACCTAGTTGTAAGGAAAGCTTTTAACGTTGACTTCTCTTTTTTGAAATGAATTGAAATACATTCCTGAATATATATATATTTTTATTCCAGGGGGGCTTATGGTGTTTTGGTGGAAATGGGCTTCCTTATTGTGAAAGTCTCAGTACTGTCCCTTCAAAGGCTGTGGAACTCTTCTGCTTACAAGCCTTAGTGCACCATTCCAAGGTAATTCAGTAGCAACACCACCACCTTCTTAAACCTCTGCAAATAAATGCCTGTTCCCTAGATGCAATTTCTATAATGATTTCTATCTGGATGGAAGACAAAACATGTCACAAACTATTTGCCAGCTAAAGATAGTCATGATAGTACTTCCTGCCTAATTTCAGATTCCTAGTCATTGTGATGAAATTGAAGCAAGTGGGGGGCTTCAGCTGCTGCAAAAACTATACCAAATCCGCAAGGATTCCCCCAAAATACAGAGGAGCATCATTCACATAATTGGGAACATGGCACTTAATGAACAGCTTCATTCATCTATATTTCGTGCAGGTAATAGCAAAGCTTATGGTCTCTGAAAAATGGAGAATTAACGATGAAAGAAATGGGACCATGTAGCGTTTTCTTTATAATAGTCGCAGATGCTTTTTATTCTGTTGGGTTCAGTGGGGCTTGCCTCCAGGTAAGTGGGCAGAGGACTGTAGTCTGAGATAATATGCTAAGTGGTCCGAGGTGAAAGGAATTCATTGCTGGATTATGAATGAACCTTAATGGAAGAACATAATTATGCATAAGTATAGCCTACTAATGTAGGCGACATGTTTCCTTCTATTATTTAACACTTTGAGCCTATTTATACAGTCAGCCCAATTATCCATTCTTATCTGTTGAATATCTGATGCATTCTCATTCTGAGAACTGCATATTAAATGGATGTTTAGAAAAGGGTGGTGGTCCCTCCATGCGCCAATACTGCAGTGATTCCAGAAGTAGGGCAGTTCCCTACATTCTTATCAAATGTGGATATGAAATAATTAAATAAAATAAATAGATTTAAGAACTGCAACTGGTAAGGCATTTTCATCAGTGGGCTGTGTCAGGTAGAAGGCTGCTTGTTCAAATGCTTCCCTGCAAGCTGGGTCCTTTTCCCTGATATGCTAGTTCTAAAAGTGCAAGGAGAGTTTTTAAAATAGGGAAATATTTGAACAGGCAACCCCTCTCGCAGACTGCTCTTGTTGAGTCCAGAAAAATAAACTTTACTGTGTGATTTCTGCTGCACATATAGACTAACCACAATTAATCTTTGACATATTGAACTTTTTCTTATAAGAACACCTGCATTGCACCTTTAAATGATGAGCTTGAGAAGCAATATCCAGCAGAGCATCACAATTTTATCTTTTAGAAACCAGGAAACTTATCAAACTTGATGGAAACTGTCAAAGAACATACTGCAAAAATCACTGTGTGTGTTTTTGTGTGTGTGTTTCCTACTGTACAGTAGCAGCACTTGTTTCCCTTTTAAAATGTTTAATAAATGGATTGCCCTTTTGGTCAGTGACAGGTGATGATACATATGCTTGCTTGATTCAATCCTAGGTTGGGTTTCTGTACTTGCTCATATGATGAAGTCTCCACGTGTCATGGAATCCTCCCATGCAGCAAGAGCCTTGGCCAACCTAGACAGGGAAACGGTGCAGGAGAAGTATCCAGAAGGAGTATATCTTTTGCACCCACAATATCGAACAAAGTAAGGAGAGAGCTTCCTATATACTGCCTCCTTCCTCCACTACTACCACTTCATTACTCACAATAAGCCTCTCCATTCTAAAGTTCACCCGTTTCTCTGTGGATAGATTCCTCGCAGGGCCAGATCATAAATGCTTGCTCCTTACATGGTGGCTTGTAGGTGAACATTGGCATGTATGAAAGGTACCTAAGAGAAATTGTCTCCGGAGAAAGTTACTGTGCGGCTATTCCATTTGACCCTACCTCATGTACCCTTGCAACAAGCATGCACATGTACAACACTGCTTTGGAAAGGCTTAGGAAAAAATATGTCCACCTTTATGACTACCCTGTACCCTGTGAGGCAAGGTGAGGAAACCGCCTCAGATGGCAGGATCCACAGGGGCATCGCATCCAGCCTCCAAAGAATGCCTTGCCCACTGCTGCTACTTCTTTGGAAGCCAGACCTGCCTCTTCAAGGCTGCCTCTACAGTGGCCTCTTGGCAAATAGGAAATGCTGCTGGTCTCCTCCCACCCTTGCTCCTGATGTATGTATTTGTTTCCCACTTGTTCCTGTTGTAGATCTTCACTCATCCTTCTTTCCAGATGGATCAGCACAATTTTGTGGTTTGCCTCAGGTGCAAAAATGTCTTGGGCCAACACTGCCCGTACCATTTATTCCTCATAGCTTCTCTGATGGTGAGCAGTACCTAGTGGTGGATAGAGTGAGAAAGAACTCTAAACATATTAGTGTGAATGCAATCCTATGCATATATACTTGGAATCAAGTCCCATTGAGTTCAGGGCGGATTTCCCCAGAGGAAATGGATATAGGATTGCAGCCCAAATTGTTCCGTATTACTCCATCTTGGGGCAGAAAATGTTCCCCCTAGTAGAATACATCCTGCAGTTGTTACAAAGTTCCTTTGTCTCATTGAAAAGAGAGGTGCTGCAATGCAATGGTTTAGTAGCAGGCTCCAGTACAGAGAAACTTTAGGTATTCCTAAATTTCCTTAAACTCAGGAAGATTAGACACAGTCTTAACCATATGTAAATCTCACTAAGGTCAGGAGTTTGCCACCTTAGCTAACATTTTCTAGATTTGCCCTGCTGGTTCCAAGGACCAAGTGCTTGCTGTTTTGGGGAGCAGTGTAGAGCTATATAATACGGTACAGCTTTGGGAAGTGTAGGCTGTAGAGAAGCAAGTGACAGGGAGCCCAGAGGCTGAAAGAATGGCACAGAAGAAGACTTTTGAAGAAAAAGGCAGAGGAGGGGAAAAAGTGAACCCAGAAGGGGCAAAGAAGCTTCACAACACTTAAAATTGGTCTGGGATTGTGTACTGTGGAGGGTGAGGGGTGAAGATAGGAGTAGTGGGGTGGTTAATCAAAATACCAGGTGGCTCAAAAGAAGTGTCTTCTAAGCCTAGAATCTGTAGGGCTCCGTCAATGTGTGTAGAAACTAGCTGACTGTACAAAGGTAAAATTCACATTTGCTACTCTGCTTTAGCATGTGGCCCTCAGAAGGTTGCCCAGAAAGGAATGCAGCCCTCCAGCTGTAAAAGGTTATTCATCCCTGCTCTAGATTATAATGGGAGAATTCTTCCATTATGGCCTTTTCTACTGCTACAGCATTGCAACTGTGTCAACCATAAGGCCCCACTGAGGGCCCCAAAATACATTTTGCTTCTGCCCATTTTACCTTCACAACAGCTCTGTGAGGTAGGTTAGGTTAAGAGCAAGTGACTGTAAGCTTCATGACTGTGTGGAGATTTGAACCGCGGTCTCCCAGTTGTTGGTCCAAAACTCTAACCAGTACATGTGATTTGGTAGCAGTTCTTTGGATGCCGGCTTCTAGTAATGCATACTCCCTTTTGCAACTTCTTATTTCCACTACCAGTGAGCCCATTAAAGCTGATGTCCTTTTCGTTCATGGTCTTTTGGGAGCAGCATTTAAAACATGGCGGCAACAGGACATAGAGCAGCCTGCTGCTGAGAAGGAAGTGGATACGGAAGACGATTATACAGAGTGTTGGCCAAAGGTATGGGCAGTGCTATTTTTCTATGTAAAGAAGTGGCAGAACTCACCATGAAAGCTTCCCTTGTTCTCCTATAACGGCAGTGGCGCCCACCTGAGAGGTGCCCATGCAAAGTTTTAGTGGCACATATAACTAACCAACCATCCAGAATGACAACAGTACTGTGGCCTGGAGTGAAAATGCCAACACAGGGGTTTTTTTTTGGGGGGGGTGTACTGTGGTGGGGATCTCTTGTATGCTAACACTGAATTAATGTTTTTTAAAAGAAAAATCAGTTCAGATTATAAGATTTCCAGCAAACTACTTCAGAAAGAAGCTTCAGTTTCAAAACAGCATGCTCTATAACCATACTTTACTTTTCCAATTCACTCTCTGTCTTGAAAATAGATGACTAGTTTTGATTTCAGTGCCTGAAACCCAATAACTTTTGTGAACCCAATATTCTGTCTTGTTTTCCTGTATTCTCAATGTAGACATGGTTGGCATCTGACTGCCCATCACTTAGAATTATATCTGTGGAGTATGATACACATCTGAGTGACTGGAGAGCAAAATGTCCCGTGGACAGCTACAGGTAAAAAATGGAGGGCACACAAATGGTGTGGGAAGTAGAAACTGTGTGATTATACCGAGGCAGACATGGCGATTTCCATTTCTGCTTTGTAAAGCATCTTGTATTGTTAGGAACTAATGATGGTGAAAGTTTTAAGCAGCCTAAATCCACATTTGCATCTGATCAAAACGATTGTGTTTTGTAAGCTCCAGTTTCGCAGAATTGGCTGGGCCATACTTTGGCACGCATGAAGCTGCCTTATACCCAGTCATATCGCTGGTCCATTTTGCTTGGGGTTCTCTATTCCAGTGATCAGCAACTCTGTAATGGCTTGCAACAGAGTTCCCAGCTTGCTCCCTGAGATAGTTTTTTAAACCAGAAATGCCAAGGGTCTGAGCCTGAGTCCTTCTGTATGCACAGTCTGTCCTCTGTCCCTGAGCTGTGCCCCCTCCCTCAAGTGCCACAGGAGGCACAGTTACTCTAAACCCAGTTTTGATTGTCCTTGACGGTTTTAAAACACCAGCTTTGGCGAAATCTGCAAAAAATAATGATTCTAATCATAACTGCATGCACAGCAAATCCCGTGACCTTAAGACTAAGGTGAACTGTCGGTATAAATTCACAAGCAGTTCTGGAAAGTTTGCATTGCTATTTATAAGCATGCCAGCTTTTAAGGAATGAATCTGTAATGCTGCCAAGGACCCTTGAGACGACATCTAAGGACCCTGCTGAATTCTAGAATTTAGTGTGCTCTTCTGCTTTGGAACAAGTCCCCATAGATTTCTTGAAGTTTTAACTAAAAAGGCCTATTTGAATATTTGGGTCAACTCTGGCTGCAATCCTGCGCACAGCTAGGCTGCGTAAATCCCATAGACCTCAGTGGGATTTAAACAGCCTGAGCTGTGTGCAGAATTGCACCCAAAATCTCTTTAGCATCCATGCTGATTGGAAAGGGGCATTAAGTAGCTGCTTGCAGTCAGCATGCACAACCTAACTGGAATGCATTGAATCTATTTTTGCTTTTTAATAACTGCAGTGGTTTTGAAACGTACTATTCTCAGTAAACCTTTTCCACACCAGCTATTTGTGCATCTGCCAAAGGACCCCGATGTACTGCAGAACATCCTGAGGCATGTTCTAGGGCAGTGTTTCCCAACCGGTGTTCCGCGGCACACGAGTGTGCCGTGAGACGTTGCCTCGTGTGCCGCGAGATGCCTGGAGGGAGGCGGGCGAGTCGGGCGGCGAGAGGCGGGGCGGCGGCGGCGAGAGGCCGCGCCTCCTGCTGCTGCCTGGCGCTCCTCCTCGCAGCCGGCAGCGCTGCCTGGGCGCCTCCGCGCGACTCTGCCTCGCTGGGTTTGGTCTCCCAGCAGAGACGGGTCACACGCGCCCCTCCCTCCCTCCCTCAGCCTGCGCGGAGGGAGAGCCAGAGAGAGGCATCGCTCCTGCGCGGCGGGAGAGGGAGCAGCCGGAGCGATGCCCCAAACGAACGCATGGGACCGGAGGGGAAATCCTCTCCGAGGCGGATTGAGCGCAGCTGAGAGAAGCCTTTCGAGGAGCTGCCGTGTCCCCTGGAAACCCCCTTCCCAGCTCTGCCTCAGCCGCCGCCGCCTCAGTTGCCGCCGTCCCTCAGTCCCTCGCTCTGCTGCCTCCTCCCACCCCCAAAGCTTGGAGGTTCCCCAGCAAGGGGGAGGGAAAAAACTTTCACTTTTGTGCGTCCCTCCCGGCGTGACGCTGCGCGCTGACGTCACGGGGCGGGGCTTTAATGGTGGTGTGCCGCGAGATTTTTTTTCAGTAAACAGGTGTGCCGTTGCCCAAAAACGTTTGGGAAACACTGTTCTAGGGCACCCATGAAAACCAGGTGGGACCTTTTGGGTCTCAGTATTGCCCTGCTTGGCCTAGAAAACACCCAACCCTCTCCCATGACTAGGTGGTGCACAAGTTGTTTCTCAGTAAAGCTTGCTCACCAGTACTGACCTGATTGAGGAGCCCTTGCAAGCTTCCTTGGCTGTCCAGTGTTTCCCAGAACAGGGTTTAAAAGCCACTGCCTTTGCATCTGCTACTTGGTTCTCTCTCCTTGATTTGCAGGGAGTCTCTTTCCTACAAGAGCACTGAGCTTCTCAAGAAACTGCGAGCTGCTGGTGTTGGAGATAGACCTCTTGTATGGCTGTCACACAGCATGGGAGGCAAGTCCATTGAATCCTTATTTAATTTTTTCTTTAAATTACACTGTTCTGCAATTTCATGTATTTCAACCATGTTAACTAGGGGTGCTTGAGGAATTTGACCTTTGTGAACTGACCTGATCCACATCACCCTAAACTATGTTATAATTATGCTTCGGATTTCACATTTCCCCCAGTTTTGCAATGTTCTTTTAAAAATGTGCATTTTTAGGATAAAACATATTTAGAAGTGCGTGATAAAATATATATAGGAGTGCATGTTCTGTGAGAAATTACTTTCAAAAATAGGTATTTAAATACCTATTCATAGATAGATACTTTACAAAAATGGCACGAACCAGAAATAGGCTGACATGTCCATCCATAATGTTAACTGGGTGTAAAAAAGATTGCTTCTATTTGAGGACCATGAAAGACTATATACGTTTCGCAAGAACTGCCACAGGACGTGGTATCATGAACTGGAGGACCAACAGCAATTTTCCTGACATGCATGTGGTTGGTGCACAGACAGTGGAGGCTTTTTCCTGTGCCATTCGTCGAATTTCAGTTTTGGACCTGATTGTCTCATCTGTACAAACGGAAAGCTAGGTTGGCAGGCCCAGTTCCATGGGTTTTAGGGTGGGGCACGGGTTGTGGGCAGAATGGCATGGTGGTCTCCCAGCACTGACCACCCCCTTACTTGGGGCTCTGGTGGGGCTGCCACAGCTGCCGGCCTTGTATTTCCCTTCATGCTTGTGAGTGGGGTTACCTAGCAACAGTGATGTTATGGGTAGGATTCAAGCTGATCGGGACTCAGAATCCATTTAGCTCTCAGACCATTATATCATTGCCACTGGGTGTGCCTGCTTGTAAGAGGGAGACTAGTCGCGTCTCCCTCAGAGAGCCAAAATGGCAGCTAGCGGGGACCCCAGATGAGGAATTGTTCTGCTGAGCCCTGCTAGGATGGATATGCTCCCAATATGCCATGTGCTGACATCATGTCTCTGCATTGGCATACAATCATTTGGATATACCATATTTTGCGCCCCATAGGACGCTCCGGCCCATAGGATGCACCTAGTTTTTTGGGGGGGAAATAAAGAAAAATTTTTTTATTTCCCCCCCAGGCTGGAAGAACCAGGTCGGGAAACAGCGGGAAGGCGCTCTCTGCCTCCCCGCTGTCCCCCGAGCTTGTGGGGCTGGCGATGGGGAGGAGTGCACCGATCCCTGGACTGCAGGCAGCTCTGCGCAGCCACCGGGAGCGGGGCGGGACTTCGCGCCCCGCTCCCGGTGGCCGCGCAGAGCTGCGCTGATCCCGGGACTGCAGGCAGCTCTGCGCGGCCATCGGGAGCAGGGCGGGACTTCGCGCCCCGCTCCCGATGGCCACGCAGAGCTGTGCTGATCCCGGGACTGCAGGCAGCTCTGCGCGGCCACCGGGAGCGGGGCGCGAAGGGAGCGGGGGGGTTGCAGGCAGCTCTGCGCAACCCTCGGAGCCGGTCTCCCGAGGGTTGCGCAGAGCTTCCTGAAGCCTGGAGAGCGAGAGGGGTCGGTGCGCACTGACCCCTCTCGCTCGCCAGGCTACAGCGAAAGCCTGCATTCGCCCCATAGGACGCACACACATTTCCCCTTCATTTTTGGAGGGGAAAAAGTGCGTCCTATAGGGCGAAAAATACGGTACATCTACCTTGACATTACCTGCCAATAGTTACTTTAGCTCAGTGTTTCCCAACCTTTTTTGGGCAAAGGCACACTTGTTTCATGAAAAAAATCTCGAGGCACACCACCATGCCAGATGGGGAAAGGTCACTTTTTACTTATGTAAAAAAAAATAAAAAAATAGTAACAGCATAGAAGGTAATGGTTATGTCTTTGATGTCTGATGGGAGGGCATTCCACAGGGCGGGCGCCACTACCGAGAAGGCCCTCTGCCTGGTTCCCTGTAACCTCACTTTTCACAGTGAGGGAATTGCCAGAAGGCCCTTGGCACTGGATCTCAGTGTCTGGGCTGAACGATGGTGGCGGAGACGCTACTTCAGGTATACTGGACCGAAACCGCTTAGGGCTTTAAAGGTCAGCACCAACACTTTGAATTGTGCTCGGAAAGGTACTGGGAGCCAATGTAGGTCTTTCAAGACTGTCGTTACGTGGTCTCGGCGGCAGGTAGCAGCGCTCACAGCTTACGGACTGCACCGTGTAACAGGTGTCTGGCCCAGCAGCCTAAGGCGGACAAGCCACTGAAACAGGCATTCAGAATCCATTCATTTCATAAAACCTGCAGGGCTCAATCTCTGTGTTTGTGTATGTGTGTGTTTCTGTTTTGCCCAAGGGTCTGGGGGTGGGAGAGAGCTCTTTAGCATGATGCTTTTAAAACAATTAAATTATCAACAAACAAACCTGATGATACGAATAGCAACGTCAGGTGCTACCGGGCGGGGGGGGGAGAAGGGGGCCTACTCGGAAGTAAATACTGCGTCCAGGCGCAATTAGCGCTGATTTAAGGTGCACCAAGACTGCCTAAAAACCTCACCAAAGATATGCAACAAAGCGCTTCGTTGCAGAGGGGAGAGTTTGTGCACCGTGGAGGCTGGAGGGCTTCTATTCTACATGCGGGGGTTGGGGGGGCGAGGAAAATGTGCTCCGTGGGGGGGCGGGGAAGGCAAGAAAAGGAGCTGAGCTCTAACTATAGGCTCCCACGCTTGAGCACGCCCGACTCGGTGGGGCGGACCACCCTCTCTCCTGGAGGAGGAGGAGGAAGAGGAGGAGGAGATTCCCATCCACGGCGTGGCCTCCCGCGCTCCTGAACGGGAAATCTCTGCAGCCCAAGACTCTCCGCGAGGCAGCTCCTCCCTTCCTGCCTTGAGCCGCCGCCAGCCGCGCCCCCCTCCCCAGTTATCTGCTGCCTGCCAAGCCCCGCCCCTCTTCATTGTCCTCCCCTTCTGTTTATTCCCCTTCCTCCATCCCTCGCTTTTTTCCCTCTCTTTCCTTTTTTTAAAAAAATATTTTCTCTTCCCCTTCTTTTTTTCCACCCTTTCTTTTTTCTCTTTCTCCCCCCCCTCCCCGCCCTCCTGGGTTAAAGGATTTGAGCAATGGGTCTGGAGGTGGAGCTCGTCGGAGGATTAGCCCGACTCGCCCGCCTCCCTCCCATGGCACACTAGGCAACGTCCGGCGGCACACTAGTGTGCCGCGGAACACCGGTTGGGAAACACTGCTTTAGCTCACCATTTTGCCTGTCAACTGCAATCTCTTTATAAAAGACCTGTGGGTATAGGGCGGTGTACAAATTTAATTAATAATAATAATGATATGTTTGCCTCCCTACGTGTGGCGACTGTTGTCAGTGTAATAATCCTGGCTGATTGGGCATGGTGTCCTAGGTTGGCTGTGGTAACCTCACATGGGATGTTGCCACAGGCTGCACCTTTGCAGTTGCTGCACCTTGTCTTTAACCTTTATTTGAAGAGATTGTTCTGGCAACGATCAAGTCATCAACATGTAGAAAGTTTAGATAGGCAATAAGACCACATATTGTTAATTTTCACAAAACCATTCTTCAGATTTTGAGTAATATCCAACTTGAGTAATATCCAGTTGGTGCAAAAAACACACACACAAAACCACAGGGCATATATACAGTTAATGTCCATAAAAACCAACAATAAGTTCTTAAATTCTCTGCTGTTCTACAGGGTGATTGGTTAGGGGCTGCATAGAATATACGTATTTGTGTTTTTTATCGGTGTTGTTCAAGAATTCACTTTTCCCAGTAGTAGAATAATATAGCAGCTTGTTTTTTAAACAATGTAAGCTCTTTAAGTCAAGCTCTTTAAGTTTACTGTCTTATTCAATCCCTTGATAGTTATCTCATATATTCTCCAGAATATTCTCCAGTAGTGGGATCTCAACTATTTTCCTTGCAGAGATTCTGAGGAAACTAAATTAGGGAATTGAAAACTGCATGTTAAGTGTAGGGATTTGACTCTTTTAATTGAACGTTACATTGGTGGAAATGCAAAAAAGCAGTGGTTTTTAGCAATACACATCTTTTCTCTGACATAATGAGTATACCAGGATGATAGTTGTGGTTGGCTAACAAACCTTTGAGGTAAAAGTAAAACTTCACTAAAAAGGAGCAAGTGCCCCTCCCCCATTTTTATTTGTAAATAGAAAGGAGGTTTTTTTTAAAAAAAATAAATCAAAACACGGCAACAAAAAACCATTGCTAGCTGGCATTAACGATAATAAGATTACATTGCTCTTATTTAGTATATTACCATATCTTCCTAACTGGCAGAAGGTATTAGTGCTTTTCTGCATTTTAATCTTCAAGGAGCACATCTAACAGATGAAGGAGAAATAGGATGTTTTGTACATTAATAATAATAATAATAATAATAATAATAATAATAATAATAATAATTTATTTATACCCTGCCCATCTGGCTGAGTTTCCCCACCCACTCTGGGCGGCTCCCAATCAGTGTTAAAAACAGTACAGCGTTACATATTAAAAACTTCCCTGAACAGGGCTGCCTTAAGATGTCTTCTGAATGTCAGGTAATTATTTATCGTTTTGACATCTGATGGGAGGGCGTTCCACAGGGCGGGCGCCACTACCGAGAAGGCCCTCTGCCTGGTTCCCTGTAGCTTTGCTTCTCGCAATGAGGGAACCGCCAGAAGGCCCTCGGCGCTGGACCTCAGCGTCCGGGCAGAACAATGGGGGTGGAGACGCTCCTTCAGGTATACAGGACCGAGGCCGTTTAGGGCATTAATTTAAGCATCATTCTTGCATTGGTCCTACTTTATAAATATATTTTCTTGTCAGGTCTCCTAGTCAAGAAGATGCTTCTGGATGCTTCCAAGGACTCTGATATGGATTCCATTGTAAACAACACCCAGGGAATTGTGTTTTATAGCGTTCCGCATCACGGCTCTAGGTTGGCTGAATACTCAAAAACTGTTAGATTTCTGCTTTTCCCCTCTGTGGGCGTTAAGGAACTCAGCAAAGGTATGCTTTGGTTGCAGTAATTTAATATTTAGAGTGTTTGCATGCTCACAATCCATTTGCATTGTTTTTACCTCACTCAGGAATGTATTTATTTGTGGTGCTTATTCCCCGCATTTCCTCAGTTGAGCTCAAAGCAGCTAACAATAAATTAAAACCATTTAGACAACTATAAAGTAACAATAAAAGTAAAACTTCAATGAAAGGACAACTGCTCAAGGCCCCAAAGCCTTCTTGAAGAAAGTTCAATGGAAAGAGTTCACAACACAGAGAGAATATGGATATTGCAAACCTGACTGAAAAGCGAAAGGGAACAGTGTACAGTGATCTGTAAATGGCACGCTGTCTAAGACTGTTGCTTGCATGTGCCATGCTAATACTAATCCCTCAGAAGCAGGGCTTGACAGCAGATGTTCCTGTCTGAACTCAAATCTAGTTATTCCAAGTGCACCTTTCATAGGGAAATGCTGCATGCAAACACAATCAGAAATATGCATTTAATTTTCTTTCTTGTTCCCCTAGATTCTCCTGACCTTAAAGTACTGAACAATGACTTTCTCTCATTTGCCAAGGATAAGAAACTTCCTGTATTGAGTTTTGCAGAAACAATGCCAACGCGAGTCAGCAGAGTTCTGAGCCTGCATGTAGTACCAGTGGAATCTGCAGGTGTGATATTCTCAGCATTCCCTTTTTAAAAACGTTTTGATCTGGCAAGATATAGCCATGCGAGTTCTGTGATAGAAACATCCAGAAATGGATGCAGATAGAAAAGGTGGTATAAAAAAAACAGTGTTTCAGATAAATTAATGATTGACGTCTTTCTGGTGTAAGGCTGGATCAGCCACCCTCAAAGAAACCCTTCTCCCAACTTCTTCCTCTCTTGCTCATTACACATTGCTTGCAGTTAAAGTGCTGTGGGCATAAATTTATATGAACACTTTCAGTAGCACAGTAAAAAAGTTGGAGAGCCACAGTTTCCATGCATTCCAGGAGCTTCCTGCAGCCAATTGGAAGCTGCAACTTGGTTTCCGAACATTTTGGAAGTCAAATGGACTTCCGGAACGGATTCCGTTCAACTTCCGAGGTATCACTGTACATGGATTTATTTAATGTAATTGAATAAAACAGAGCTTCAGCAGCCATACGTAATAGGAATAGAGGTATCAGTGGCTGCTATTGATGATAGTTACCGTGTTGTTTGCGGTATCTCAGGCAGTAAGTTTCAGAATATCAGTTGCTAGGGAGCGCAAGTGGGGAGAATTTTACTGTGCTCATGGGCTGAGGTGGATTGCAGAGTTGTGCAGGATAGGGATGTGGTTAAGTTTTAAAAGGTTGAATCTTTGCAACTGGAAAACTCCCCCCACCCCAACAGCTGAAACAGAAATGACAAGAGAAAGCCCCAAGACTATATAAAGCTGTCAGATTTGCATTTTTTTGGTACAGAAAGTATTGGATTAAAGTGTAGAGATCTTTCCTATTCTAATTAATTCAAGAGGGTTCTGCTCTGTGTGATCCAAGCTGATGCAACCTAGAAGTTTCTAGCTAACAAGCAAGTTTCTATTCTGCCTGGAAACAGGCAGGAGGTTCCTGATGTTTGGGTTATTCCTTCAGAGAACCTGAACAGCTGGTTTAAACTGGTTCTATTACAGTGGTACTTCGGGTTAAGAACTTAATTCGTTCCGGAGGTCCGTTCTTAACTTGAAACTGTTCTTAACCTGAGGTACCACTTTAGCTAATGGGGCCTCCCGCACCGCCACCACACGATTTCTGTTCTCACCCTGAAGCAAAGTTCTTAACCCGAGGTACTATTTCTGGGTTAGCAGAGTCTGTAACCTGAAGCGTCTGTGACCCAAGGTACCACTGTATCTCTTTATGTCAAGGTCTATAATAATAGGCCTATACCTTCTGTGCCTAACGCATGGATTACTGTGACTAACATACATTTTAAGGTGCTCTTTCTGTCCCAGGGCTTTTGTTCTTTTAATGGAAGACCTAACTTACAAGCCTGCACCATTTAAAACCTGGTTCCAAGGTAAATTATTTGCCCCCTCAAAATTTTTGCTTAGCTCTGATCCATAGATAATTGTTGGCACACACAATAGAAGCATGACTGGTTGTCCCCACATAGCAAATGGGAAAGTGCATCTCTACCAGTATCACAAGATGGGTGCTGCTGTGTATCATTTGTGTCTTTTCCTTGACATTCGTTGGTGCTGACTTTTGTTTTTCGTTTTTCCCCAGATTTAGGCATAGGAGAACTCATTCCCGTAGATGTCAGCCACTTGAATATTTGCAAACCGAAGAACAAGGACTCTTTCCTCTACCAATGTACACTAAAGTTTATTCGAGATTCTTTAGAAAGAAAGGTGGGAAACTGAGGAACTGCGCACCAGAGCTTTGCTTCTTTGATGTAATTCCTAACACATTCTTGGACTGAAACAGGGGCAGAATTGACAGGTACAGCACAATGGTTTTTTTGCTGTCAATTGCTTTTTAACTACTCCTCTAACTGCTGACCTTGGCGTGTATCTAGGATATGAAAGTGCGTAGATGCACTTCCGTACATCTCACAGAGAAAATCCATGGTTCCCTTTGCCTTTATCGCTGTATACTTTACCTGGTGGAAGCATACGGGAAAAGTCCTGTTTGCTACTTGAGTTGGAAGCACTTCTTGCCTGAGCTTGTAATGGGTTCTTTACAGTCCAGTAGGAAATACATGAAATGGCCTTTTTACCCGAAAGTGACCCTTCTTCCCTTGAAAGAGATGACCCTGCTTGCTGCTGCCTGTTAGAGCCCTGCTGTACAGACCCAGGCTGCATTTTTCATAGATTCGTTTTAGCCAGACCCATGTACTTGCTGGTTTGGGGTTGAGCACATGCTGAAACATAATGTGTGGGTGTACTGTGAGGAGTAAATGGGCTGACATAGTACACCGTAAGGACACGCGATTACCCATCAGCAACAGAAATGCCAGTTTTATGGTATGATTTCTTATTAGACAAATTGGTGTGATAAAGAAAGACCTAGTGCTGTCTGTAAATAATAGAGAAAAATGTATAGTGACATCTAAACCTGCAAAGCTAGACTGTGCCCTTTGCATCTGCTTGCCCAGGAGAAGCAAGAATATCCCTCAGAGTGTAGATTTTGTACTGCATTTGTTTTGGAAGCAGGAGAAACACTTCAGTTGCTGCAATCCTGTGTTCGCTTATTTCAGAGAAAGCCCTCTTGAGCTCAGTGGAACTAACTTCCAATGAAGCATACACCAGAATTTCTTTTAAGGACTAGTTCATTTTATTATTCCCATTGCGATGGCCTTTTCTCTAGTCATGTTAAATCAGAGTGTTGTGGGAAGGAACCAAACTTTTAAATCATTGCTTTCTCCTGCATGAAAGGCTGAATTAATGCAGATAGCTTTCTAAACCTTCACTGTCATTGTGGTAGCATAGAATGTGTTTGCCACATGCATTCTAAAACTCAATGGAGACAAACTTAAGGCCTACATCATCTGAACAGCTCAGCCAATTCTATACTGTAATATTCAGAATGCCAAGCACTGCAAAAGGGAAGAATTATTCCCTTTGAATAAATGCCTTTTAAGTATTTCAGACACAGTTATTTAACAGTTATTCCAGTCTAAGAACTGATGTTTTGATCAACCCTCAGTGGCCCAATTCAGACATGCCAAACCATGGTTTGATAGCACTACACAATATAGAAATTTCTAGTGTGGAGATGTGTTGTTCTATAGTCCATCTGCTTAGCATTTTCATGTTAGCTGCTCTGGAGGTGAAGTAAAAGCCATTATTATGAATGGTCTAACCAGAAAGCATGCCAAACCATAATTAGCACAAACCCACTTTATTGATTTGCCTGCTCCTATAACAAACTGTGGTTTGAACATGGTGGCAAACCTTATCTAAGCTTCCTTAAACATGGTTTGACTGATATCTGAATAGAGCCATTTTGTATGTATCAAAAAAATCTGCCTACAAGGCAGAATGGGGGAGCTCTTTATTAGAAACAAGCTACTGTAGTATTGCCTTGCACAGAAAATGTTTTATCTATAATGTTGGAGCTGTTTGAAGCAGGCCATGTTCCCCTTCTCCCCTTAAATTAATCACATGTGGTTTATACTGTAAATATAATTCGTGTGGTATCTGTGTTTGGGCATTTTCAAATAAAACCAAAACAATTTTAATGTTTGGAGATGCTAAACTTTTAAAGCTGCTTAAAAGTTAATGTATTTTATATTAAGCAATTACTTGCAATTGCAACATAATACACCAAAGCAAACATGGGAAACTTATGAACCTCTCATCATTCCTAATCCTGCCTGAATCCAAATCACCTGTAGGATTGCAGGTTCCTCACTCTTGGCTTAAAGGTAAAGAGTATAAAACACAGCTGCACTCTTAACTCCCACAAAACTCACAACCAAGCCTCGCTAACCACTTGACGGTGCATGGTGTCATTTCATTTTGGAACTAAGTAGGTCAGAGCCTGACCAAGTGCAGGCCAAAGGAGGCTGCCTGGAAAGGCTCATGTCTGCCACTGGGCTTGAGAGTTCAAGCTGCCATAGCAGAGACTGCCAAACATCCATCCACCTCTACCCCAAGAATCAGCTTAAAGTGCTTACTGAGCACAGTGAAGCTGGCTGTTGGGGTCGCCAACTTCTAGCCCTGCTCCCGTGCCTTTAATAGCCTATAAAATTCATAAATTAGTTAGCTAAAACTTCTGTCAAACAGTCTTTAAGAACAAGACTCCAAGGGTCATCTACTTCAGCCCTCTGCAATGCAGGAATCTCAACTAAAGCATCCATGGCAGATGGCCGTCCACCCTCTGCTTAAAAACCTCCAAGGAAGGAGAGTCTACCATCATTTGAAGGGAGTCTGTTCCACTGTCCAACAGCTCTTGCCATCAGAAAGCTCTTCCTGATGTTTAGTCGGAATCTTCTTGCTTGTAACTTGAAGACATTGGTTCGGGTCCTAGCATCTGAAGCAAAATTCACATATAACTTGGTGCTACTTTTTAAGACACACACACAAATCAACCATCTATGAGTAGCATAGCATATGAGCTAAGAAGAGCACGTGAATTTTTGCTGTAGTCATTTCCATGAAGATGAATGTACAGTGGTTGTGGTGTATAACAATAATTTGTGCTAGTCAACCAAATGCTGACTTCTTCCTGTCACATGAGCCAGTAGCTTACAGATCTCGGGGGGGGGGATTTGTTCTCCATTCCCTTACCCTCCAGCCTTTGGTTAAGCTAGCAGAGAGGACCCTCTGCCCCATGGGCCTAATTGAACCCACCAGGCTTCTGAATTTAGTCTGTGAGACCATTTGGGGCAATCCATGGCCACCCATCAGTCATATGACAGATTTCTGCACCTATCTCTATTAGCGTTAAGTGCTCAGATCAGAGATAAGGGATTTCCTCACACGACAGCACTAAGATGGGAGACGAGCCTCTCCTTGCTACTTAATAGTAAAAAGCATCAGTAGAGGCTTATCTCCAGTCTTAGTGCTGTGGGACCAGTAAGCTTAACCATTCAGCTCACATCTTGTTATGTGGGATCGAGTGTTTTCTTTCCATGTGCTCTGCAGGGCAGGAAGGGAGCGCTGTGCTGTGGCATCCTTTTTGAAAGATGAGTGGCTGAAGAAATTTGGAGAGGTAAGGGGCAATAACTTGCCATGCTCTCTTCCTACTCTGTTTTGCAGTCCTGATAAAATGTTAAAACTAAGGCCTAGCTCACATGTGTAGGTACATCATTTAATCTCTCATCACATGGTTGCTTAATGCTTGATGGCTGATAAGCTGTGAAAACTGTCACGTGGAACACCTTTTACACCAAATCTGTAGAAAGTATTGTGTCTAACTGACTTGTGATTTGTTTATGATACTTCACTTTGACATGACGCAGGTGATGAGTGGACAAATAAACATGTGACCTTGTCCTAAACTGTATAATGGGTAACAAAACGCCTTGATGAGGAACAACCATGAAACCGAAATTCAGTCTTCCTCTCCTATGCCATGAATTATTGAAATATTGTGTCTCTTATCAGCTGTGAGAATGTATGTGGATTTATTTAGACACAGTGCTCTGTACGTGTTTCTAGAGTTGTATCCTTAAGCACAATTTTTAGTCTGGAAATCAAAGTTCTGATTTCCCATCAAAAAACATTTTAAAAACAGTCAAGCCACTTGACAGCTTTTTTTATTATTATACCAATACTTGTTTTTTTTTATTTGTATTTGTTCAGACTGAGCAGCGTGAACTGCAATTGATTGCACAGAGGACGCTACTGGCAAGATCTAAGTTTTAATGAGATAGCTCACCAGTGAGCCTGTTATAGGATATAGTGCCAAAGGCCAGATACTTCACTTCTTCAAGTAGTGTAATAAAAATAACTTTTATTTGCAATTTATAAATCGACTTAAATTGGTTTTCCTTCTAATGCTTTTATTATCATGCAAATGAGCTGCCACAAAGCTGTTAAATTATCTTTGTTGCAGAGAATATTGGCACTAACTTATAAACCATGCTCCTTTTTTAAATAGGCATTCATGTTTTATGTTGAAATGTCGCCATAAATATCCAGTGATAACTTTTTAATTTCTTCATTAAAGAGGAAGGGTGAGGGGTTTCGTAACACGTTCCGCAGGAGTTAAGCTGAAGATTGTCATTTGTCCCCACCCACCTTTCATTTGTGTGGGACACTCAAAATAGCCTCTTGAAATCCTACCTTTTGCTAAGTGTCGAGAATGAAAAGGATAGGTGGAAAGTAGAAAAGGGGTTGGGAACTGGAGCTGGCTGGTGGGCTGGATCCTCGTCTCCCCTGCCTGCTGTGAGCCATATGTGGCAAGTAGGCATCACACATGACATCAGGCAGGTGGTGTGACTTGTGAACCAAATGGCATCGCCTGGCAAGCCTAATTGGGTCCAAGAGCAGGGTGTTTCCCACCACTGCAGTAGCATTTCTGTTCTAAGTCCTGATCCAGAAATGTACCTGAGCAGAAGTAGGCTGTGTGCATGGCTGCTTAACTGCCCAGTGCTTTGAGAATACTAGTGATCCCTTTTGGTGAAATGGAGTGCTTAAGCACAAGACAACTTTTAAGCCCATCAATGTTGTTTCTTATTATACAAAATATACTTTTACCTTCATGGCCTACTTGTGAGCTTCCCAGAGTCAGCTGGCTGACCACTGTTGGTGGTGAAAAGTTGCAGAAGACTCATAGGTCCAATTCACCAAGGACCTCTGTCATTTTATGCTGCAGTGAAGTGCACACTAAGCAGTGAGGTCTCTAGCAGTTGCCAGTTTCTGTCTATACTGAGTAGCAAACCCACTTTGGGTCCACGCCTCATTTGGTGAGAGAATTGGCCTTGGTTGTGCTGATTATGTTTTTCAGGTGGGATAAGGAGTAGGACTCTGTTGATTCTGCTTTGATATGGTAGGTCATGTTATCCTCCTGGGCCATCTCCGTGAGTTGGGGGCAGTGGTTTATGGTGATTACAACCCAAACCAGGCTTTTCTAAATAGTAGTATTGGGTGACTGTACCTCAGGCCTTCTCAAAATTCATCTGCAGGCTGTTAAAATCATTAGGAAATTTTGGACAAGGTGTCACCAGCTCCATTGTTCTGTAAATCAGCAGAGGCAATGCATGTATGGAAATGGTGTCTGGAGGCAATTGTGGACTGGATGAGGGCTATTGCAGCTGAATCCTGACAAAATGGAGACTCCATGGATAGGTGGTTCCAAAGTCTAGGAATTGGGTTGTGTACCAGTTCTGGATGAGATTACAATTCTTCAGAAGGAGCAGGTGTGTAGTTTGGGGGCCTAGAGGCCCACCTGACCTTGCTGTCTTAGAGCACCCATGGCCAACTTTGGTTGGGGCAGCAACTTCAGTACAAGGATGGCCTTGTTACAGTGGTCCATTGATTACTAATTTCACAGTTACTACTGCAATGCATTGCATGTGGGGCCATACTTGCACCTGGTTCAGAGGCTGCAACTTGTGCAAAATTTAGTTCTTAGGTTGCTTAGAAAGATCTGCACTGGGTGTCTAAGTCATGGTTTTGGGGTCTCTAAGCAACTTGGGGCCAGTTAAGATCATCTGAGGAGAACCTGCTGGTTGTTCCATGCCTAGTGAAGTGTTACTTGGTGACAATGTGAAAGCAGGCATTTTGAGTGATAGCACCCACCCCATGGAATGCTCTCCCTTGGTTATTTCGTGGATACATTAATGACTAATATATGCCTCTTTAACATTTATAAGTTTGCCCCAGCTGTCTTGGACTCTTATTTTTGACCACTGCTCAGTTTCGTAATGTACGATTGAGTTTTGTTTTTAATCTTATCTTTTCCCTAGCTTCTTGGAAACATTATTAAATGTTGTATTTTTATTCAGCAGTACAAACATTGATTAAATAATCAATGTTTAGTCATTATTGTGTATCTGATTCCCTCCTCCTTTTACCTTTCTGGGCTCAAATTTATTGAATCATCAAATGAAACATCTGGCCTTTCAGTTTTGAGGACAATATAATACAAAAACAAAATAAGCCAAGTTCAGTTTCATAAAAAAGAAATTTAATGATATTATTTACAGCCTCGATACAAAAAAGGATAGTCAAATACTTTACAGTTCCCCCCTCTTCTGATCTTTACTATTTCAAAACAAATTAAAATCATGAAGTATGCCACTCCATCAAAAGTGATTCCATCCTGTCACTAATAAATCACCAGTCTTAAACAATCACCTGATTCTATAACTCCGTTGCACATGTTCCCATATTATTTAACAATTATCGATAAAATTATCCTCTGCCTTTTATGCTCACACTACGTTATCTGTCTGTTCTCTACAATAGTTTCCTTGAGGCTGTATTATGCCAAGCTAACTTTCACTCTCAGGACTGTAGCTCCAAAGGGTGAGAGCTGGGGAACCTTGAGTACAGAAGTCTCTCTCATGCCTACCATTGATATTTCTACATATGCACATTTAGACTCGTCTTACCCTTGTCCAGCCTTCACCAACCTGGTGCTCTCCAGAGGCTTTGGAAACCAGCTCCTGCCAGCTGGAGCTGATGGAAGTTGTAATCTAAAACATCTATAGGGCTTCAGGCTGGAGGAGACTGCCCTAGGCAATATATCGCCTTCCTGATCACTGGGAGCCTGTGACCCTCCAGTTGTTGGACTACAATTCTCGCTACTGGTGCTCAACCACAAGGTCCCCACCCCTGTACTATGAGAGGCATGTGTGATTGGCTTCCCAGCCTCTACCCAAGCCAGAGATGAGACTGCAACCACATTGCTCAAGAGTTATGCATTCTAGTGCTTTCATATAACCATAGCTTTAGTTTTCTCTGAGATACCATTTTCTATTTATTAGCTGCTTTATCGCTTGGGACTCCTACATGGCAGTCCTTGATAGCTACAGCAGCCTTGGTTGACCATCTCCACATTATTCTGTTGTCATTAGGCACAATCTGCAGGTAATTTCCTCCCTTTCGGGCCTTGGTGGAAAAAACAACAGAGCGCTTACTGGCTTGAGCTCATTTGGTTTAAGCTTCCCAGACTCTGCAGATGTTAACAAGCATGAAAGGGAAGATGCAGAGGCAAACATACTGTGAGATCTTCAGCATGTTTATCCAGAATTATGTCCTACCCAGTTCACTAGGTCCTCCTAGGAAGTGTGTTCAGCTTTTCAAAGCAACTACCGCTGTGTGCCCAGACAGACACAAAATGCCTCTTTAGACATAATGCAGAAACCTCCATGCTATCCTTTTCACAGCAAGCGAGTACTATGGGATAGACAGCCTTGGTATGAAGTACAGAAAAGCAAGCAAAGTGCAAATGAGAAGCAATTCTACCAAAAGGCATTATAGCATGCACATGGAAGAGAAAGTTGCCACTCACCATACAAATTAAATCAGAATTCATTGGAGGCGGAGTGGAGTGTGAAGTACCATAACGACTCATTTAACTCAGTCCTTCCTGTACCAAAGGCTCTGAGAATAAAGCAAATTGTTTCAGAAAAAATCCTGTCTTGTTATGATTTGTTTGTTTGTTGTAGAAAAAGCAAAAGGGGGGGACGACCCATGCTCATAGTTTTAAACTGGTGTTGGGGTCCACACAGGCATTTTGGGTCTGCTTGGACGCAGCCAGTACACTAGGACTTTCAGAGATGGTGCCGCTGTTGCCCTCTTCACCAAATGTAACCCAGTGGCTGAAATCACTTGCACTGGGGAGTTTCACATCTTTTGGAGCGTGTGTTGGGCTGATCGGCAGCGGTTGAGGGATTGACTGATAAGCAATGAAGTCAGTCTCCAGGTCTAAAAGACTGGTGCTCCCTCTAAGAAAGTCATCGTCTGAAAGCTGCTGGTGTTGCTGCTGGAGGCACATGGGCGGAAGAACCTGCAGGCCGCTGATTAACTCTGAAGCCATGAACCTCAAGGGTTTGGAGTCGTCTATCGGGCTGGTCATGGCTCCTGCTGCTGCAGGTAGAAAGGGCTCACTTGGAGAAAGTGGGATGGAATCAGACTGAGTGTGAGACGGATTGTTGTTATTGTTGGAATTAAATGTTAACCCCTTGAGAAACAGGCTGTCACTGCTCTGGAGTACTTGCAGATGAAAATCGGGAGGGGCAGATTTCTTTCTCCTCGGTGGAACTCTTGGAGCATGGGTAGAATTCTGAGCAGGAAGGCAAGAGCTCTCCTCCAGAAGATGCAAGGCAGCCGGGTACCTTTCGCTGCTCCTTCTCCTCTCAAGGATTTTGCCTGGGGGGACTGTTCTTGGCTTAGGAACAGGGGCTGCTCTGGTAGGACTTGTAGCAATGGCTCTGGCCTCAAGGCAAGACTCTGGCAGCACAAAGGAGAAGTGACCAACAGATTGCTCAAACTGCTCTTCTGGAGAAGGAGGCTAAGAAAAGGATGTCATAATGTCAATCAGTTGCTATTGAACCAGCCCCATAGTGATTAAAAAAAGAGACAATCGCACATACCCACCCCCAAAGCAAAGCTGATGTATTCTTGACAGAGGTAAGATGGCCTTCTCTAATTCTGTACATGCAGCATTCTAAAATCTTAATATATCCATTTTAAAATGTGCTAAAAAGCTTCAACATTCCGGGGAAAGAATTATGTCCTTTCCATGGCTCTTATTCCTCCTGCTAATTATGAACTCTGTCTCAGAGTGCTAACAAGCTTTGAAGCCAAAATATGGCCATCAAGGAAGAGGAGGTGCCTGCATGCTCAGGTGAACTCTCAAGTTTGCAGAAGTACAAAAATCTTTTCCTTTTAAAAAAAAAAATCTGAAGGGGAAATCCCTCACCCCCTTAAAAAACAGACCAGTGAGGACTGTGCATGCTTAGTATCTAGTCGGAAAAGATAAATGGGCTGCGGTGGAGGGACAGAACACAGCTCAGTTGGCTGTGGAATAGCTGAACACTAGTTAGAAACTGACCAGCAACATTGACTCTAATTTATTTAAACAATGTGTAACCTACCCTTCATCCAAAAATGGCATTCAAGCTGTTAAAAATATTGCTTCTTTTTTTTGCCCCTCCCCTGCTACTGTGGTGGTGTGGAAGTACAAAGGAGAGGGGGCAAGAGCAGGGGCAGAGCTAGCTCCTCCAGCACCTGGGGGCATGCTGTGCACCTGGGGGCAGGGTGAGCCTCCCAGCAGGGGTGGGGTGGCAATGTCACCCCCCTCAGGGATGAAACCCGGGGCGAACTGCACCCCCTTTCCTCCAAGGAAAGAGAAAAGCCAGCTGAAAAAGAAGGCCAGAAAGCAAAAGGAGTAAGTAGGAGAGTGGAAAGTAGACAGGGCCATCTATTTCTCTTTCTGTTGGCATTTACTTTTTCTCCCTTTTTCTCCTTTCCCAAGAGAAATGGATACATAAATACAAAAAGGGCAGAGGAACCCTCTCAATGTCTGTCTAGGTGATTTCCTGGTTCACACAGAAAAGCTGTTTTTCATGTCCCCAGAAGTGAGAACTTCCCATAAAAAACCAATGGAGAAATCCAAGGTCATAATGTAGCTGAGATTGAGCAAGAGTATGTCCTGGCTATTCATCTCACTCCCTATGTAACCCAAAGGTAGCAGTCTTCTTTCTCTTTGATGGTACTCTGGGGGCACAGTTTTGGAGATGAGGGGACTTTTGAAGGCCACATACCTATTAACTCAGCTCAATGACAAACTTCTACCGACTGCATGTGCAACCCCCAAATTTGCCCTCTGAATATTGACTGAACCCTGCAGAAGCATCTAATGGAGACTTACACATCCTGGCTTCCCTCCCATCCTCTGCAGGGGTGCTGGTTTCTTAGCAGAGGGAACTTTTGGTGCTGGACGCTGAGGTATGAGCACTGGGGGTGGTTGCGGGCTGTGAAGTTGTGCAGACTTTGCAACACCAGGGAAGCTTTCAGATTTAGTGACAGTTTGGGTCCTTCCAGAAATGGGTGCCAAGGCTTCCTCCAGAGTTACTGAAATACAGAATTGTAGAAATCTACTTATCCCACATGCCAGGTAAATTCAAAAGTTTTATTTGCCCAAATAGTCTTATTCGCATCAACAGATCAGTTTGAAAATGGAGCAGCATGTTCAGGTTGAAACAAAAATACAAGCAGTATTTTAATCCAAACTGACAGCTCCTCAGGTTTCACCACAGGAAATGAGAACAGCAGTGATTAACATTTTAAGATGGCGCCCAAAAGAGATGTTTCTTAGGCATGCTTATGTAGCTCTGAAAAGATAACGTAGAAACAGATATTATCAATGTTCTTAACTGAAATTTGTTCATGTTACCTCCTTTTGCTTGCATCAGGCATCTAATCGCTTCCTCTGCTTCCTGAGGGGTGGTGGTTTTGATCTGCTTGACATTATATGGCTTGCTAATTCCAGTCCGTGATTTTGGCTTACAAAAATTTAAAGGAAAACAAATAACAGACAGAGTGAGCCCAGAAGAAAATCATGCATATGCCACTTTCTAAAGCAGAAGTAGCCTTAACATTTTCAGAGTGGTTAGTTTTTGTCTACCAGCCATGAATTAATGTCAATAAATCCCTCTCACAAGAAGGAATACTTATATATGCTTCATCCCACTCTCCCCTTCCACTATGCCCTTAAGTCTTCCAATAGACACCCTGTTTAAGGAGCTGCCACCACTTGGTGTGTTGATTAGGCCTTGGGCAGGTATGGGGAACCTGGTGCCCTCCAAAAGTTGTTGAGTTCCAGATCTCATCAGTCTCAACTAGCCTGGCCAATGGCCAGGGATGATGGGAGTTGTAGTCCAACAGTATCTGATAGGCCACAGGTTCCCCATCCCTGATCTAGGGGCTTCACTGCTGGGGCACCCTAACCCCAGAACTGTAATATTTCTAGGAAAGGTCCTATACAAACATGTTTCTTTACTTTAGCAAATTGGCAAAGGATGAACAAAGGA